AGCCTGCGCTCTAGAGCCTGCGAGCCACAACTACTGAAGTCCACGTGCCACAACTATTGAAGCCTGCGCACCTAGAGCCCGAGCTCTGCAACAAGAGAAACCACCGCAGTAAGAAGCCCACGCGCCGCAACGAAGAGTAGCCTGCCGCAACGGGAGAAAGCCTGTGTGCAGCAACGAAGACCCAACAACGAAGACCCAATGCAACCAAAAATAAATAAATTAAAAAAACGGTACCTAGCCTTCCTGTGTGTGATACACCCAGTGTTGGCCACGACCCACTAAACTGATCTCATAACCCGCTAATGGGTCACAGCCCTCAGTTTGAAAAACGCTGCTTGGGAATTCCGTGATGGTCCAGTGGTTGGGATTCTGCAGTTTCACTGCCGAGGGCCTGGGTTCAATCCCTGGTCGGGGAACTGGGATCCCTCTGGCCGACTGGCATGGCAAAAAGAAAAAAAAAAGAAAGAAGGAAAAACACTGCTCTAGGGAGCATTCCATTCTAGGATTTCCAAGGCTTTTTCAGAATTCTGCACTGTGGGATAAACTTCCCAATCTGGCATCTTAGCTTCTCTGGCCTCCAAATTGTATTTGCGTCGGAGGGAGGGAGTTAATATCCCTGGGCCTGCCCTTCCCCTTTCCCCACCCATCTCTGTGCCAGATCCTTCTAAATTCCTTAAAGACTGTGTACATTCCTTATTTTACATTTGTATTCTTCTCTAGCCTTGAATCTATAGGAAGCACTAAAAAAAATTTCCATGACCTCAGTCCTAGGATTAGCAAAGTTCCTATTGAACAGCTTCCTCATTCACCCCCTAGACTGAGCTGGGCTTCTCAGCCAGTGACTGGCATGTCCCCCATTCCATCCTGGCTTGGAGTGCAGCTGGGTGGCCACCGCAGTGAGCTGGGGTGCTTGCAGCCAAGCAGACCCAGGGGCCGCGGGACTGGGGCCTTCTTCAGCATCTGCGACCCCGGCTGAGGGAGTGAGAGGGGCTGGTTAGGAGGCGCTGAAGTCTCCCCACCCCACCCCACATTGACCACTGTCCCAGCTCTAGCTGTATGAGAGGTGGGAGGCATGGTGTTTCTCAGATTCTTTTTACCCCTTGGGAAGTAGCAGGCCTTTAGAAATTTCCAGCACTGGCCTCACCTCATTACATTCCTTTCAGGAATCCGTTCTTTGAGTCCTGGCCTAGGTAAACAGCCTCATCTCCCGAGTGTCTGCTGGCCCTGGCACTCCTCTTTCCTCTCCCTCCCCAGGAAGGGCCTGGCTCAGGCCACTGAACACTGCCCAAACCGGGGGCCACAGCAAGCCATCCCCCATCGCCCACTCACTTCCCAGGGGCACGGTGTGGGACTGGCAGCCAGCTCGTCCTGCGACCCGAGGCTGTGGGTGCTGGTACGCCCATTGTCAGTCCCCCAGGGAAGACTGTGCGGCTTTCTTGCTGTGGGTCCCAAGGACACCCGCCTCTCCTCCCCTGTGTTTTGGCCTTGCCGGAGTTTGACAGGAGATGGCAGTGGCGGGCGGGTGGCTTCCAGCCTTGACGCAGACGCTCGGCCCCTTTAATGGCCCTCCTTTGCCCATTGTTGGACTTCCTGCCTCTTCCCCCCTCACGCTGGGAGCCCTGTTAGTGGATACTGATCTTAGGGACCAGGTGTGAAGCCTGCTTTTTTCCTAAGGTGGGTGCTCAGCCCCCACTGAGCAGGCCAGCCCTTAGGGCCACCCAGTCTTACAGGATGTGATGTTCAAATCCACTTTAAAGTAACTTCTTGTTTCAGCTTCCTTGTACTTTGAACCGGTTGATCAGCCTCAGTTTGCCTTTTTCTGTCCTTGGAACATTTTTATGTGGCGCATTAGGTTCAGTGGAGAGCAGTGTTGGGAATGAGGGTCTAAGACCAGGAGCTGCGGGACCAGCTCGTCATTCCTGCTGTGCCGTCAGTGCTCGGCGTCAGAGCTGCAGCTCAGGGAAGCAGTGTGCGCCTCGGGCAGCCCGGGGGGCAAAGGGGCAGAGAGTGGGCCTCCTGGCCAGGGCAGAGCTCCTTGGAGCTCAAATGGGGGTGGGACGGAAGTGCTCAGCCCCCGTGCCATGTTGCCTTCCCCCAGCAGTGTCCCCCCTCCTCCCTTGGCCACTGAATTGCTTTCCCACTTGGAGCACCTCCTTAGCTCAAACTTCAGAAAGGGTCTGGAGAGTGATCCCTTCCGCCTCCTCTGGTCTCAGCACCGCCAGGCTCTCCTGGGAACAGCCTCAGGGCTCCTCAGCCTCAGCACTGCTGATGCTCTGGGCCGGATCAGTCTCTGCTGTGGGGGGCTGTCCTGAGCACTGTTGGATGTTTACCAGCGTCCCTGGCCTCCAACCACCAGGAACCGGCCCCCACCCACCCCCCCCCCAGCTGTGACAGCCAAGCGTGTCTCCAGACATTACAGATGTCCTCTGGGGGGCAGAGTTGCCCCCAGTTGAGAACCACTGGGCTACCTGGTCACCCTGCCCTGCTCAACAGCCAGATGACGCTTTTAACGTGACCCCCCCTCCCCGGCTCAGAGACCTGCAGGAGCTCCCGTCACTCAGGACGGACTCTCAGGTCCTTCCCTGGTGCTTTTTCTCTGAGGCCCGAGACGCCTGGCCTCGCCTCCTGTTCCTTGCTGCTCTGTCGCAGCCCTGCTGGCCTCTGCTGGGCGTCGAACATCCAGTCAGGGCGGCTCTTCTGTCTGCTTGGAAAGCTCACTCCCTTAATACACTCAGATCTCTGGTCACATGTCACCTTGGAGCGGCCTTTCCTGGTCACCCTCTCAAAATAAATAACTTGCTCCCCTCCCGCTTCCAGCCTGTCCCCCACACACCCTGGGGAGTGCCTTGGTTTTCTGTATGGCACATAGCACCACCTGACCTCTGTCTGTGTGCCTGTCTGTCTGTCTGTCTCTCTGCTGCACTAGAATGGAGGCTGAGTCAGAGCGGGACTTATCTCACCAGTGCCTGTCCTCCCTGAAGCCTGGCTCTCTTCCTCCAGAGCAGGTGCGGGAATCCTCGCTATGCGGGGCAGGTGTGTTGTTTGCTACTCCTGTTTCCAGAGGAGGCAGTGGAAGCAAAGGATGTGGGTTCTCGGATTCCACCAGGCACGTCCCACAGACATGTCACAAAAGTGTCCAAGCACAGGGAGTTATACCCAATCTCTTGTAATAACCTGTAACGGAATATAATCTGCAAAGAACCCACAAAAACAAATCGCTGTGCTGTACACTTGAAACTAACACAATATTGTAAATCAACTATACGTCAATTTAAAAACATGTTAAAAGTCTCCAAAGTAATGCATGTTCGTTTTGTTTTTGTTTTTTTTGCGGTACACGGGCCTCTCACTGTTGTGGCCTCTCCCGTTGCGGAGCACAGGCTCCGGACGCGCAGGCTCAGCGGCCATGGCTCACGGGCCCAGCCGCTCCGCGGCATGTGGGATCTTCCCGGCCCGGGGCACGAACCCGTGTCCCCTGCATCGGCAGGCGGACTCCCAACCACTGTGCCACCAGGGAAGCCCAATGTTCGTTTTTAAAACCACCTGTAGCCCCTCTTCACTCAGACACTTTAACATTTTGGTGTGTTACCTTTCTTGTCTTGCTTTTTTTTGTTATTCAGAAACCTCTGATAGCTACAGCTCTCCCTCAAGAAATGTTAAACAACAGTTCACCACCTCAGAGGTTGTTCAGAATTCTAGAACCAATAATGACAGTTAAAATCTATCCACCTTCCACCTCAGATCCCACGCTGGTAACAGTTTTTTAAAAACTGCGTCCAGGGTGCGCCTAGCAAAAAACGTGGCTCCGTTTCATGACTTAGTTTCACTTTACAATCTGGCGTTTTCCTGGAGCAGGCACAGCGCCCTCTGGTGTTAGCCTCCAGTGTCTGGTGCCTGTGGTCTGGGTGCCTGATCTCTCAAGGGTGGGAGGAGCAGAGGCGGGCGGGCTGCTGAGACCCGGTGGTGTCTCCCACCTGGCGGCCTCGGCGGGCGCTCAGGGCCCTGATCCGCAGGCAGAGGCCACCGCAGCCGCCTGCCATGTGCCCCAGAAGTGAATAGAGCAGTTGTTGCTTTTATAACCAGGAGAAGAATTGCTGTCTTTCAGAGGGTGTGGACCTGCCAGAAATGTGTTTTACTCTGTCCCTATCTCTGCTGCTCTGGGGAGGAGGAGCTTTTTCTGTGGTTAAGCGAATGGACTCGAGCTAGACTGCCTGAGTTGAAGTCCCAGCGGCACCACTTAGGAGCCGTGTGACCATGAACACGTGACTTATTTTCTCTTTGTCTCAGTTTACTTATCTGTAAAGACAATGACAGTATGCTTATTTCGTGGAGTTGAGGATTTCTCCGGTTAAAACACGTGAAGTGCTAGAAAACTGCATGGAGTGTAATACACACCAGCTGTGCTGTCGCTGTGAGGAGAGGCTTCCAGAGCAGGGGTTCTGAAAGCCTTCGAGATGCAGGGAGCATGTGTCTGGAACAGGGAGAGGCGAGGAGGACGTGGGTAAGCGCTGTCGTGTAGGAGATGCTCAGCTGGAGCGGCTGGCGGATGTGAAAGGAGCAGTGCCCAGTGTGGTGGGACATGGGCACCTGGGAGGGAAGCTTGTGAAAGAGCATGAAGAGGCTTGCAAGTCATCCTTGCCCTCCCAGGCGTCTTGTTCTCATTTTCTGGAATTCCCAAGGAAAAGAAATGTAGCCAGAGGAACTTCCCTGGTGGCACAGTGGTTAAGAATCCGCCTGCCAATGCAGGGGACACGGGTTCTATCCCCGTCCGGGAAAATCCCACATGCCGTGGAGCAACTAAGCCCATGCGCCACAACTACTGAGCCTGCGCTCTAGAGCCCGCGAGCCACAACTACTGAGCCCACGTGCCTAGAGCCCATGCTCCACAACAAGAGAAGCCACCGCAATGAGAAGCCCGTGCATCGCAATGAAGAGTAGCCCCCGCTCGCCGCGACTAGAGAAAGTCCGTGTGCAGCAACGAAGACCCAACGCAGCCAAAACAAATTAATTAATAAATTAAAAGAAAAAAAAAAGAATGTAGCCAGAATAGTGGCCCCTGCACCCCTCCGTCCTCCCTGCCACATCGCTCTGCTCTACACTGTCATTGTCATTGTCACGCGAGATCAGAAGAGCCTGGAGACCCAGCTTCAGGGTGGAAGGGAGTCAGGCTCGGGCAAGAGGCCAAGCGCAGGTCAGGAGAGCCACATCCGGGGACACGCTGGCTCACCAGGCCCCCTCCCGGGAACTCGGGGACCTGCCTGCCCCACAGCCTCGCAGAGGTTCTACAGAGGGAGGAGGGAGAAAACCCACCCCTGTCCCTGCCGTGACAGCTTTCACTGGCTGTGTTGTTCCTGCTTCGGCCTCAGAGCAGGGGCCTCAGTTTCCCGTACCCCCTTGGGGGCAGCGAGGCTGGGCTGTGTCCCATCAAAGACTGTGCTGATTTAGGGTCTGCACTTGGGCCACTCCCTTCCTTTCCTGGCAGCTCTCTCGGGGACTGACACAGACGCCGAGGTTGGAATGATGTGCAGACTCAACTTGGGTCTCTCCTCAGGGTCCCTGAGCCCGCGAGGCAGCCTGTGCCCGCAGCCACAGCTGCTCCAAGCATGGCGTCACCTCCCGCCCCATGCAGCACTGTCCATCTCCCAGTGGATTTCCCCTCACTGCAACTTCTGGTTTCCGTGGCAACTTGGAAAGACCTGCAGTTGTGGCTTTTGGAAGTCTAAAATGAGAGCAGAGGTTTGAGATAGGGTGGGACAGCACTGAAAATACCTGTCCCACCCAGGGATTTGGGCCCAGAGGGTTACAGGATGGGAGGTTCTTTGAATTAGAAAAATGGCACTGTCATCCCAGCACACCCTTAGCAGAGCTCCACGTGGCCCCTTGCAGCCTCCTGGGATCTTGGATCCTGAGCTCAGGGTCTTCAGCCTGCGCCTAGGGGGCAGCGGAGGCAGGTGGAGTGATCACAGCACTTAGCGTTGGCTGAGCCCTTACTGTGGGCCAGGCGCCTGGTGGCCGTCTGTGCTTTCACTGCCTCGTTAATCCTCTGAGCCACTCATCCCACCTTCTACACGAGCGCTTCGCGAGGCTGCTTTGCAAGGCTGCAGCGCCAGCGCAGGTGAGTGTCCGGTGTGCTTAACTCCGGGGCTCCCTCTCATCTGGAACACGGGCTTGTGTCCCTGGAGGAGCATCTCTGTCACCTGTTGATGGCGGGCCCATTGCTTCCCCTTTACTTTTTTTTAAAGTCACATCCCACTAATAGCAGGGTTTGCTTTAGTCGTTGCCAGGATTTCGGTGCCCTTAAGCGCGTGTCTCCCTTCTCAGTTCTCCTCCCGTGAGGTCGCCGTTCCAGGCCCCACGTTCTGCGGTGGAGTCACCTTGAGTGTTCGGTTGGGTGTCTGAGGGAGCAGCTCTTCCATCCCCCTAGTTTGGGGTCTTGGAGGTGCCTGAGCCAGGGAGGTGGGCAGCCACACAGAGATGCGCCGGTTCCCAGGACTCAGTGAAGAACCGCAGGGGAGCGGCCCCAGGTTTGGGGAGCCAGCAAGGAAGGTGCACTGGCCCAGTGGAGAAGCGTCTCCCGCCTGGGCTGCTGTGGGGCATCCGGTGCCCGGCAGGGGGAGGGGCTTTGTCATGGAGGGATGGGTCAGTGCTTGCTGCGCGGTTGGCCAGGCTCCAGAAGCCGGCGTCCCGAGAGTCCAGAGTCGGTTACTCAGCAGCTTGCAGTCCTCTGCGGGGCAGTCGATAACGAGCAGGCTGTGACTGGCGGGGCAGGATGGCCCAGATTAGAAGGTGGTGAGGCTGATAGCGGCTTCAGGGTGACCCTCGGCCCAGTGTCACACTCCTCCTGCAACCCACCCTGCTCAGCACTCGGCAGCAGGGGTGCAGGGCAGGCAGAAGCTGGAAAAAGGATTCCACTCACAGCAAAATGTTTGGCTCTCTGCAGAATGGGCTGTTAAATCCTTCATTTACAATGAGGCCTTACGTGGTTTGTCACGTAGCCACTTTTCAGCGTGACCAGAGTTACCGCTGGTGAGCGCGGTGTTTGCCTTTGGTGCGGGAGGTCGCACCTGGCGTGCTGTCTGCTGATCCAGGTGCTGTTGGAGGGGCGCGTGGGGTTTGGCAAAGCCGAGCTCTGGGCTTAGGGTTTGTGCGCTTAGCTATACGTATGCTACGCTTCACTAAGAGGTAGGGAGGAGACTGTATCCTGTAGGTGATTTTGGGGGCCGTGCTCTGACACCTGTGCTCTCTGTTCCAGTTGAAACTAGAGGACCGCTCCGTGGTGCCCCGGGATGTGGTCCGGCACATGCGCTCCACTGTGAGTCCCGCGTCCCACTTGGTGGGGCAGGGTTGGGGGCGGGGGTGGCCTGGGGCATGTCCTGGCCGGGTCTGCCGGGTGGCCCCGCGGGGCGCCTGCCGGGACCTGGATGCCTTCTCCCCCGCAGGACAGCCAGTGTGGCACGGTGATCGACGTGAACATCGACTGCGCCGTGAAGCTCATTGGCACCAACTGCATCGTCTACCCCGTCAACAGCAAGGACCTGCAGCACATCTGGGTGAGCCCGCCCCGCCTGCCACCCCTGCTGACCTCCCCTCTCGGGGCTCTGGTTCTCTCCGTGGCACCTTCCCAGGCCGGGCGGCCAAGCCCAGCAGTCAGCTCGCTCCCTGCAGCCTGACCATGCTTCTTGTGAGTCAGCCATTGAGACGCGAGGTCAGGACACAGCTTTACGTCTCCAGCAGACTGCTGGTTTCCCTTCTCCTCTAATGCTTTTTTTTGGAACAAATTTCTTTTCAGCTTACTTTTTTAATGATCTCAAACTTACTGAAAAGTTGTAGGTACCTTTATCCCCTGCAACATCCAGGCTCCTTAGCTGGTGACGCTTCGCTGCATTAGCTCCAGCGCCTTTCCTCCCTCCTTCCCCACCTCTCTGTACTCCTCTGTCGCTCTCTCTTTCTCACTCCCCCCACTGCCTTCTCTCCTTCTCTCTCTCCCCTCCCCTTTTCTGAAACGTTTGAAAGCAAACTACAGGTATGATGCTATATGACCCCTAAGTACTACAATGTGTATTTCCCCAAAACAGAAACACTCTGCTGTTTAACCACCATTCAAAGCCCCACGCAAGGACTTTGACCCAATACTGTCCAATCCACAGACCTCATTCAGTTGTCCCAACAATCTCCTTTTTCCCCTCTGACCCAGGATTCCATCAGGAGCACACACAAGAATTGTCAGCTCTTTGATCTCCCCCAGTCTGGAGAGGTTCCCCACTCTTGCTTTGTCTTCCTTATCCCGGGTGACCCTGAGCGTGGGGCCATCTGACAGTGCCCGTGACCAGCCTGGGGCCCTGCGTTCTTGGCAGAACTGCCACGGAAGTGCCGCTGAGCTCTTCGCTGGCCCGGAACGTCCCGCGGCCGCAGGGTGGGGACATTCCGTTTGCTCCCCAGTCGTCTGGGGCTCTGCCATGCCTCCCCACCGTAAAGTCAGCATTCACCCCGTTGGAAGCGATTGTATCAGCTTTGTGGGGAGATATTCCGGGATTGTGTCAATAACCCGGTACTTCTCAAACCCCCGTACATCAGCCTTAGCTTCCATTAACAATTCCCAGCTGAATCGGCCAGCGCTCCGGTGGCTGCTAAATGGGGATTTTATGACTCCATCGTTGCCTACTTGTTTTTATCAGTTTGGCATCTGCTGTATGGAAGAGCTGTACTTTCTGTCCCATTTATTTATTCATTTTTTACATCAGTATGGATGCAGAGATTCCTGTTTTATTCAGTTGGTGATAACCTATTACTGTCATTATTTGTTTTGTTGCTTGAATGATCCCACGTTTGGCCAGTCGGATCCCCTTCAAGCTGACATGTGTGTCCTTTTGACATATCCCCACCATTTTTTTTTAAACACTTTCTTTCCATCTTGTATTTTTTCTCATCCAGCCTAGAGTCAGCTGTTTCTTCAGGGAGCCCTGGTTCCTTTCAGAAAATGGTATTTCAAAAGCCAAGGTCTGGATGCACGCTGGGTGTGCTAACCGCTGCTAGGCCCTATTCAGGGCAACACGGGGGAATACATGTATGTGTACATAGGTAGACACACACACACGTCTAAATACGTCCGTGCCTGTTCTGTGTGTGTAAGATGTATGGGTTCGTCTTGATCCTTCCAGCCCCAGTCCAGCTCCTCAGGTCCCTCCTCTCTTGCCCTCCCTGTTCCTGTATCAGTGAGTACCGTCCCCAGTAGTGAGAGACTTGGCTCTCGATATCCTCAGTTGAGTTATTTATTTGCTTAAATCACTTTACTTATTCGTCTGTATAACCACCCTCCCCAGCCCGCTCTCACGTGTCCTGTGTCCCTGGGACGCCGTCAAGCTTCTGCCTCTGCGTGGGAGGGGAGCTGGGGTGCAGCTGGACTCTCGGGGGAAAGCCTGCTGCAGCAGCTATTAGGTCGGACCTGTCTGTGCGGCCAAGAGGAACTGGTGCCCTGGACACCAGTGTCATCGGCCACCTCTCACGGCCCTGTCCCCCTGATCTGCAGCCCTTCATGTATGGGGACTACATCGCCTATGACTGCTGGCTGGGGAAGGTCTACGACCTGAAGAACCAGATCATCCTCAAGCTGTCCAACGGCGCCAGGTGCGGATCTCCCCACGGAGGAGCCCGTCCGGGAGGAGCCCGTCCGGCGGGGCGGCCCGGGAAGGGGGGCAGGGGCTGTTGACCTCCCTGCGGAGGAGCCCGTCCGGTGGGGCGGCCCGGGAAGGGGGGCAGGGTCTGCTGACCTCCCTGCAGAGGAGCCCGTCCGGGAGGAGCCCGTCCGGCGGGGCGGCCCAGGAAGGGGGGCAGGGGCTGTTGATCTCCCTGCGGAGGAGCCCGTCCGGTGGGGCGGCCCGCGAAGGGGGGCAGCCCGGGAAGGGGGGCAGGGGCTGTTGTCTCACTTCCTCGAGGGCCGTGCCAGGGCCTGCAGGCTTTCGGGGCCCCGAGTCTCAGGACCTGACCCTGGGCTGGTCTCCTTGTCAGCCCGGCCTGATTCTCTGGCTCAGTTTCTGGTCTAGGCTGTACCGTGGCTTCGGGAGAGCTGCATTATCATTTAGGACACGCGAGAGGAGCTGATGCTTTATTTTAGGCACCTTAATGGTGGTGAACGCTCAGATCTGGGGGTAGAGTCTTGTTTGTTTTAGGAGAGTTCCTTGTACCAGTGCAGGGGCTGAGGTGTGGGCGGAGGATGAATTGCCTATTTTGGGGGGGCGGACGTATTGACACCTCTGGACAAGCCCTTTAGATCCTGACCGGCACCACAAGGGGTCCTGGCTGCCTCGCCTCCCCTAAGACTCAGGCACTGTGTCGGGTGCCAACCAAGCCCCTGTGCCCTGTTGCAGGTGCTCCATGAACACAGAGGATGGTGCCAAGCTCTACGATGTCTGCCCGCACGTCAGCGACTCTGTACGTTGGCTCCACCCAAGGATCCTGGGGGGTGGGGGGCCCCTCATCTCATGTTCCTCAGCCCCTGGGCTGTGCAGGAGGGACTTCTCAGCAGAGAGCTTGGAGCTGACCCAGGCTAACCGCTGCTTCTGCGCCGTTGCTTTCCTAGAAAAGGGGCGGTGTGTATCCAAAGGTATAGAAGTTTGGGTGTGGGCGGAAAGCAGTAGGACCTTTCTTTGCATTTTGTTAACTTTGTATCTCATCCTTTTTAAATCTCCTGTTTTCTTAGAGCGTATGCAGTATTTTACTGCAATTGACATCTTAGAACAGTAGTACATGACACAGTTTGTCAATAAGAATACTAGGGGAGTGTGTGTGATTAAGCAGGTTTGGGGACCCCTGTCCTCTGGAGCTTCAGTCCTTAAAGTGCCTCCCCTGCACCAGCAGCATTGTTGTGGCCTGAGGGCTTGGAAGCAGAATGGGTCAGACGTGCATTTCAGTAAGATCCCTGGTGACTTGTACGCACCTGAGGTCTGGGAGGTGCTGCTCCGGAGCCTTAGGGGCTGTGGAGCTGGAGGTGCGGGGCCAGCGGGAGCCAGGCACAGAGCAGGGGGTGCGGGTATGGAGAGCGCCCTCCCCTGAGGAGGCAGTGCTCACGGGGACTTTTCTCTGGCCCCCAATCCTGCAGGGTCTCTTCTTTGATGATTCCTACGGCTTCTACCCAGGCCAGGTGCTCATTGGCCCTGCCAAGATCTTCTCCAGTGTCCAGTGGCTGTCAGGGGTCAAGCCCGTGCTCAGCACGAAGAGCAAGTTCCGCGTGTTGGTCGAAGAGGTAGGGGTGGGGGCGGGACGGGGGCGGGGGGAGGCCCTGGATCTCCCGCCCCCGCTGCCTCATCTGGGGCGGGGCTGCTCTGAGGACCAAGGGAACCCGGGCCGAGCAAGGTGGGAGGGTGGAGAGTGGCAGGTCCTCTGGGCCCTGACTGGAGGTGAGGAGGCCGCAGTGAGTGACCCCTGGGCTGGGCCTGTTCTGGGGGTGTCCAGACTTGGTGCTGCCCCGTGATGAGGACCTGCTTCCTGCTCTGGGGGCAGGTGGGCTCCGGACAGCTGCTTAAAGAGAGGGCATTAGAGCCTGCTGACCGTGGCCCTGTCCCGCCCGCCACCCCCAGGTGCAGGTTGTGGAGCTGAAGGTCACGTGGATTACCAAGAGCTTCTGTCCAGGGGGCACGGACAGCGTCAGCCCCCCGCCCTCTGTCATCACCCAGGAAAACCTAGGCAGGTGAGCGGCTCCAGTGCGCCACCCGCTCCAGCGCCCCCAGGGGCGGTCCCCAAGCAAGTCTCTGGGCCGCGGGCACGGGTGCGCGGGGCTGAGAAACCCCTGGCCCAGCCCCTGCCTCTCCTCCCTCCCCTCCCAGGGTGAAGCGTCTTGGATGCTTTGACCATGCTCAGCGGCAGCTCGGGGAGCGCTGTCTGTATGTCTTCCCAGCCAAGGTAGAGCCGGCCAGGATTGCCTGTGAATGTCCAGAAAAACACTGCGCCCAGGGGGAGGGCTCTGTGGCCAAGAAGGTATGTCCTCGGGCTTGGGGCTTGGCGGGCGTTTGAGGAACTGGCCTGGAGCCATTTCCACAGCAGGAAGGTCTGTGCTTTAGGCCTTGGGGGGCAGCCCTGATGACCCTTGCAGGCCAGTTAGGTGTGTACAGCTGTCACCCCTCAGACCGAGCTGCCTGGGGTCCGGCCGCGTCAGCCGGCTCTCCACAGCGCCCGCCCTCCCCGTTCCTTCCCCGCAGGTGAAGCGCCTCCTGAAGAAGCAGGTTGTGAGGATCATGTCCTGCTCCCCGGACTCCCGGTGCTCCAGGGACCATTCCGTGGAGGACACAGGCAAGAAGGGGGCGGCCAAAGCCAAGAGCGAGGCAGGGTCCGCCAGCCCCGAGGGGACGCCCGATGGGTCTGCCAGCCCCGTGGAGATGCAGGACGAGGGCCCCGAAGAGGCCCACGAGGGGGGCGAGCAGCTGCCCCCCTTCCTGCTGAAGGAGGGCGGGGACGACCGGCTGCACTCGGCCGAGCAGGACGCCGATGACGAGGCCGCCGACGACACAGACGACAGCAGCTCGGTGACCTCCTCCGCCAGCTCCACCACCTCCTCCCAGAGCGGCAGCGGCGCAGGTCGCAAGAAGAGCATCCCCTTGTCCATCAAGAACTTAAAGCGGAAACACAAGAGGAAGAAGAATAAGATCAGTCGGGACTTCAAGCCGGGGGACAGGTGAGCTCAGGGGCGCCTCCCTTTCCCGGCCGGGTGTCCTGCCCCCGCCCCGCCCCCACACGCATGCACACCCAGGCTCGCGTGCTCGTGGGCGCGCTCGTGGTCTGCAGGCCCCACGAAGGCTCAGGGGCGCCCAGCCGAGATGACCTGGGTGCCTGGGCTTGGCCGGGTGGGAAGGAGGGATCTGGGAGTGGGAGAGGGCGGGACGGGGGCCCCTTCCCGGAGGAGATGCCTGGTGGGGAGACTTGTTTCTTCCCTGCTGCCTGATGCTCAGGGTTTCAGGTTACCAAGCCCGCGAGGTGGGGCGGTGGGTAGAGAGCGTAGCTGCCCTTTCCTCACTGGTCCTGCCCTGCAGGGTGGCGGTGGAGGTGGTGACCACGATGACCTCAGCAGACGTGATGTGGCAGGACGGCTCCGTGGAGTGCAACGTCCGCTCCAACGACCTCTTCCCTGTGCACCACCTGGACAACAATGAGTTCTGCCCTGGAGACTTCGTGGTGGACAAGCGAGGTAGCGCCGGGTGGGGCTTGGGAAGAAGGGGCGAGAGGTCTGGGCATCAAGGACACTCCCCTTGGATGGTGGCTCACTCTTCTGAAGACTCGGGGAGCCTTTCTGGCCTGCACTGACCGAGCCAGGGAAGCAGTGGGTTCTGGGCCCCGTTGTGGTTGACGTGCAGTGGGTGGGTGGGTGGGTGGCAGGTGGCACCACCAGGGTGCCTTAGCTAGTCATGCGCCCCCCCCCTCCCCGCTGGGTCCCCAGTCCAGAGCTGTCCGGACCCTGCTGTCTACGGCGTGGTGCAGTCTGGGGACCACGTGGGCCGCACCTGCATGGTGAAGTGGTTCAAGCTGCGGCCGAGTGGGGACGACGTGGAGGTGAGCGTGTGCTGCCCCCACGTTTCCTTCAGGGTGGGCTCTGGTGGGCTGGATGTAGGGCCCCTGGGCTCACGACCACCCATCCTTTCCCAGCTGATTGGAGAGGAGGAAGATGTGAGCGTCTACGACATTGCCGATCACCCTGACTTTCGGTTCCGCACGACCGATATTGTTATCCGAATTGGCAACACTGAGGATGGAGGGCCTCACAGGGAGGATGAGGTACGTGCGCCCTGGCCTGTGCGTCAGCTGCAGTACATGATGGAGCCACCAGGTGGCACCAGGAGCCAAGACCTGCAAGTCCTTTGGGTTGCGTGTCCACCCCAAGCGCCTTCCCCAGGAGAGCGGCTGCCGGCAGTGGGGCCGCTCAGTCCAAGCACCTGCACGAGGACTCACCTGCCTGCCGGGCTCAGGCCTCCTTCACACAGCTGCTCCCTGGGCCTATTAGAGAAGCCCATTCCTGTCCTCCGCGCCACGAGCGTGGTGTCAGGCGCTACAGGAGCACAGGAGAGGCCTGGGGAGGTGGCGTCTGAGCTGCGCCCTGGAGCCCAAGTGGGGACACGGGGTGGGGTTGGGCAGATTCCAGGCAGAGGAAGAGTGGGGACGAGAGTCCTGAGGCTGGAAGCCCGGAGAGACCAGGGTGCTGTGAGCAGGAAGGGAGTGAGTGGGGGGCTCAGTGGACAGTGAGCATTGGGGGTGTTTCAACCAAAGGGTCCCGTGCTCGAGGTACTCACGGTGGTCTCTGGCTGGTGCCCACATCCCTTCTGTTCTCATGGCCTTGCCCCTGCCCTCACCCTTGGGGAGCTGCACCTTTGACCCTGTCCCATTTGCCCTGCAGCCGTCGGTCGGCCAGGTCGCCCGCGTGGACGTCAGCAGCAAGGTGGAGGTGGTGTGGGCTGATAACTCAAAGACCATCATCCTGCCCCAGGTGAGCCCCTGCAGAGCCCGCCTCGCGGCTCCAGACCGTGGCAGCCGGGCCGGGAGCTCAGATCTTCCTGGCCAGGGAGTCTGCTTTGGGGGCGGAAGGTCTCAGGGAAAGGAAAGGCAGTGTTACACCCAGAGCCCCGGGGTGAGAGAGTCGGGAAAGCAGAGAGGCAGCCTACAGCTGGATTGCCAGTCGTGTGTAGATTTTCTCAAGACCTCCCAGCTCTGCCTGGATCCCCGTCCACTGTGGTAAGAAAACACAGGTTGCTTCCTTTAAGAAACAGAGCCTTCACACCAACACTTCTAGGAAAACTTTCACAGATCAGGGAGAGAAAGCAGATGGGTTCTGAGCGGCAGGGCTGTTTTTGACGCTGTTTCTTCGCTCCCTTGTTTGAGCTGATGCTCACACCCCAGCTCCCCTCTCCTGGCACCAACGTGGGGTGGGGAAGGGGCTCACCCCTCGTCCAGGAGGCCATTCCAGGGGCGGGAACAGGCTGTGACACGGCCGCGCTGACCAAGTGCACTCAGCGGCCAGGAGGCTGGAACAGGCCTTGGCTGGGCCTTGGGCCCGTGGGTGGGGCTGGGGCAGCGGAGGTGCCTCTCAGGGGCCTAGGGCCCACCAAGCACAGAGGCCCCGCTGCGGAGGCCAGAGCAGGAAAGGGAGGAAGGGTGGCGTGGCTGCCGAGGCCTCAGGGCGCCATCAGCTCTGAGGGTTGGGGTCCTGGCAGAGCGCCCCTGAATGGCCCGCGCCCCATCTCCCCCACCAGCACCTGTACAACATCGAGTCTGAGATCGAGGAGTCAGACTATGACTCGGTGGAAGGCAGCACCAGTGGGGCGTCCTCGGATGAGTGGGAGGATGACAGTGACAGCTGGGAGACGGACAATGGGCTGGTGGAGGACGAGCACCCCAAGATAGAGGAGCCCCCCATCCCAGCCACCGAGCAGCCAGCGGCCCCCGAGGAGGACAAGGGAGTGGTGATCAGCGAGGAGGCTGCCACGGCCGCCATCCAGGGAGCCGTGGCCATGGCCACCCCTGTGGCTGGGCTGATGGAGAAGGCGGGCAAGGATGGGCCCCCGAAGAGCTTCCGGGAGTTGAAAGAGGCCATCAAGATCCTGGAGAGCCTCAAGAACATGACCGTGGAGCAGCTTCTGACGGGCTCGCCCACCTCCCCCACGGCGGAGCCGGAGAAGCCGACGCGGGAGAAGAAGTTTCTGGACGACATCAAGAAGCTGCAGGAAAACCTCAAGAAGACCCTGGACAACGTGGCCATCGCAGAGGAGGAGAAGATGGAGGCGGTGCCAGACACTGAGCGCAAGGAGGACAAGCCCGAGGGGCAGTCGCCTGTGAAGGCCGAGTGGCCCAGCGAGACCCCGGTGCTCTGCCAGCAGTGCGGCGGCAAGCCCGGGGTCACCTTCACCAGTGCCAAGGGCGAGGTCTTCTCGGTGCTGGAGTTCGCGCCCTGTGAGTTCGCCCCGTGTGTGTTCCAGATCTGGAGGCCAGGTGGCTGGCCCCTGGCTGCCGCCCAGGGCGGGGGAGCCGTTTCCCTGGCCTGGGCACCAGTCCCCATGCCAGAAGAGGAGGGCAGGGAGCATGTGGGTTCATCCACCTGTTGGGGGAGCGCTCCCAGCGGCCGCCGCACCTCCAGGTGGAGTTCCCAGGCCTCGCCCTGAGGAACTGACCACTCTCTTTCCCCCTCTAGCAAATCACTCTTTTAAGAAAATTGAGTTCCAGCCTCCAGAAGCCAAGAAGTTCTTCAGCACGGTGCGGAAGGAGATGGCCCTGCTGGCCACCTCGCTGCCCGACGGCATCATGGTCAAGACCTTCGAGGACAGAATGGCAAGTAGCCGGGTGCGGGCCGGGCCTGGGGACCGCCGGGCGCCCGAGAGGCTGCAGCCTCGGCGACTCCCTACGGGGCAGGACAGGCTCCGCCGGGGGAGCCACACGGCTGGCAAGAGTCCCACGCGTGCGTCTAGACCAGATGGTCGTCCTTTTAAAAGTTAGCTTAAGATTGTAATGATCACCTGACTCTTCTCTCGTTTTTTGAAAAATTAGAACATTTTAGAAAAAGTCATAGTTGCCTTTGACCAATCCTCACCCTGCCCCCAGGGGCCATGACTTCAGGAGTTTCATGGGTCTCCTTCTTGGTGATCTACTTCTGTGTTTACGTGTTCGTGCATCGCCATAAACCAGCCTATCTTGTAGGATTTCTTCTACACGAATAGCACATCATCATACGCATCATCTATAACTTGTTTTTTTTTCAGTCAACAGGGTAATTTTTGAGACCTACTGATGTAGGTCATTGCTTTTTAGCTACAGGACAGTATAGCCTCCCGTGGCCACGTCACACTCCATTTGCCACTTCTCTGTGACCTGGGCCCCGTGTTTTGAGTCATGCTGGTGGAGGCGTGTGAGCGCCTCCTTGTTTGTTCCAGGAATGAGCGAGCGTGGTCCATCTGCCACCTTATTGTTCAGCAGACCTTCACTGGGCCTTGCTGTGTGCCAGGCACCATGTGAGACACTGAATTTGGGTCCGAGTGAGGCCTCAGCTCCAGCCCAGGCTTGGAGGAAGGGGCCAAAGGAAAGGGACCACAAAGAGAGGCACTGTTGAAATGGGCCTGCAGGTGGCCAGAAACCCCAGGGCAGGGCCAGGAGCACGTGCGTGGTCAGGGCTGCTCGAGGTTCTTGATGATGCTTTTAGTTTTCCTTGGGTTTTAGTAAAATTCCTTTTGAAAATTCCAGCCCATCTCAGCTCTGCTGGTGGAAGAACTCTTTTGTTCGCTTTCTACCCAAATCTCACTCCGAGGGAAAGGGAAATCGTGTGTTATCTTGAGGCCCACAGAGTGGCTCCAGTCCCAAGCACACGCGAGGATTCCGTCACCAGCTCGTCCTGGGCCCTAGCCGGCTCTCAGCTCGTTGCTCACCCGGCACGTTGCCCTGGCGATGGTCCCCCCAACCCCGACAGTCAGTGTGGATCTCTGGTGTCTGTGGAGAGTCTCCTCGATGACTTACAGCCTGAGTTTCTAGTGGTCTCCCAGCATTTTCCCCGACTTCAGTTCCTCTGATCCTTCTAGTTCCCTAAAAGCAAGTGCAGCCTTGCCATCCTGGAATGTTCTTTCATCTTCTGATGGGTTGTAATTGTTGCTTGCTTCACTGGGGGTGGGGGGCTGTTTTGAGGACTGCAACTTACAAGTAATGATTTATAAGGAAAAAACCTGGTAGGATACAAACTGGCTTGGAAAATTCTTTTTGTGCCGGGAGTTAAAAGATGCCAAGCAGGTCTGCACAGAGATGTTTGCGTTTAGCTTCTCTGTTGCGGGCAGTGTCTGGAGTCCCAGGGGGCTGCTCCTGCTGGAGCCGCACAGCGCCCTGGAAAAGATCACATCCAGCTGCCCCGTGTGGAAGCCCGCCGCCAACCTCAGCCTTCCCTCCCTCCCTCCTCTAGGACCTCTTCTCGGCCCTGATCAAGGGCCCCACTCGCACCCCCTACGAGGACGGCCTCTACCTGTTTGACATCCAGCTCCCCAACATCTACCCAGCCGTGCCCCCCCACTTCTGCTACCTCTCCCAGTGCAGTGGCCGTCTGAACCCCAACCTGTATGACAATGGGAAGGTGTGCGTCAGCCTCCTGGGCACCTGGATTGGAAAGGTGGGTCCGGTGCCGGCACCTGGTCAGGACTGGGGGAGGCCAGTCTGGACAAGTGTCTGGGACAGAGTTGATCGATGGCACTGTGTGTGTGTTTTAGGGGACAGAGAGGTGGACGAGCAAATCCAGCCTTCTCCAGGTGCTCATCTCCATCCAAGGTACGGTGGGCGGGGCCGGGGGTGGTGACAGGGCTGCCGGAGGGCACAGTGACTCTGGCTTTTGCGTCCCCCACCTCCTGTCTGTAGCTCTGGCCTCCTCTCGGGGGTTGAGGTCGGGCGGGCCTGATGGGCTTCTCCTCCCGCAGGTCTAATCCTGGTGAATGAACCGTACTACAACGAAGCCGGCTTTGACAGCGACCGCGGCCTACAGGAGGGCTATGAGAACAGTCGCTGCTACAACGAGATGGCGCTCATCCGCGTGGTGCAGTCCATGACCCAGCTGGTGCGGCGGCCGCCCGAGGTCTTCGAGCAGGAGATCCGGCAGCACTTCGGTACTGGCGGCTGGCGGCTGGTGAACCGCATTGAGTCCTGGCTGGAAACCCACGCCCTGCTGGAGAGGGCCCAAGCGCTGCCCAACGGGCTTCCCAAGGACAGTAGCTCGCCAGAGCCGCCAGCTGTGGCCGAGCTCTCAGACTACGGCCGAGAAGAACCTGAGGACGGAGGGCTGGCCCCTGGAGAGGCCTCCCAGGGCTCAGACTCGGAGGGCGGCGCGCAGGGCCCGGCCTCAGCCAGCAGGGACCGCACAGACCAGACTTCGGAGGCAGCGCCTGACGCCTCAGTGCCACCCAGTGTCAAACCAAAGAAGCGGAGAAAGAGCTACCGGAGCTTCTTGCCTGAGAAGAGTGGCTACCCTGACATCGGCTTCCCCCTTTTCCCGCTGTCTAAGGGTTTCATCAAGAGCATCCGGGGGGTCCTGACGCAGTTCCGGGCCGCTCTGATGGAGGCGGGCATGCCCGAGAGCCTGGAGGACAAGTAGTCAGCCAGCCCTGGAGGAAGGAGCGCCGCCCGCGGGGAGAGGCCAGCTGCTGCCTGCTCACTCCCTCCCCTGGAACCTCCCCTCTTCCCTTTCCTCCTCCGTCCCCAGTGCAAGCCCCGCCCATTGCCCTTTTCTTCCCAAGGTGAGTTTTATGCTGAAGTGCAGGAAGTTTCTTGAGATGCTGCCATTTCTGTTCCCAAGCAATCTTCCAGCAAGCGGGGTCCGCGTGGCAAAGAAAATCTGAACCCTGTTGCTGATTTTCCACTTGTCACCCCAGGCAGGGTGTCCCAGCACTTCCTCCCTCGCCATCTCCACCTCAGGTCGGAGGTGGGCCTTTCGTGGGGGCTGACGCGGGAGAACTCGGGGCCCAGGTGTGTGCGGACCCGCGGGGCCGGACCCGTGGGACGAGTGGATGTGCCTTGCATGAAGTGTGGGTTGCTCCAGCGGTGCCCCGGTCCCCTTTGTCCTCTTCAGTCCCACTGTAGCTTCCTAGTGTCCCAGGCCCTCCTGCTGCCACCACCAACCGCCTCCTCCCTCGTGTCCCAGCGCCAACACTCTCCCTTGGGAGTTGTAGCTGCCGTCACAGACTCCTGGCTCTGCTCTGGCCCATTTGCACAGGAGAGCCTTCGGGCCTGTTGAACTCGCTCTCTAAGAGAGGTTGGGACCAGGCTGGGTTCGGGGTGACCCCCAGGAGAGGTGGTGGCCCTCACACGCTGACATGGAGTGAGGACCAGGGAGCTGCTGGGAAGGAAACAGCTGTAGGTGCCTTGCTCTTCCTGTCCCACGGGGCCTTGCGCATCTGCTCCCCCGCTCAGCCCCATCCCAGGGCCCCCGGAGGCCGCAGCACAGACAAGGCCAGGGCAAGTGCGAGGGCCCCTCCTGTAGACTGTGCCCCTCCCACTATCAAATGCTAACGCTGGGAGGCGGCACATAGCTCCCTGAACACAGCGAGCCAGCCCTCTCTCCCGGAGGATGAGAGCGAGGCCTGTCAGCCCTTCACTTACAAGCTGCAGGCTCAATGCGGGAGAGAGGCGGCCCGCAGGCTCCTCCCTCGCAGAGACGGGCCCAGAGGTTTACAAGTTTTCTAAGCGTTTGATAATGTGAAGCTCCAGTTGAGTAGGATGCTGTTGAGCACATCGCAGCTGTGTAATTTTGGTGTATGTATGTAATATTTAAGATTGAAAGAAAATAAATCTCAAAAGCAAAGATATTAACTCTTACTAGAAAAAAAAGACAAAATAAGAAGCCAAAGCATGATGCGTCTTGTCCGCCTTACGCTGGCTCCACACCTGCGCTGCCGCAACCGCGCGGGCGGCCGGCAGCAGCGCGGGGAAGGGCGGGGCCGGAGCCGGTGTCTTGTTCGAGGATCACCCGGGGTGACTGCCGCCGGGGCTGCGCTTCCCCGGTGCGTTGTTCATGTGGAGATGTGAATGCCTACTGCTTAAGATACCTGTATAAAGTGCGGTGTGATTAAACTTTTTTTTTACTTGCATTTTTTTTTTGTTTGGCTCATTACAATGTACAAAAAAGACAAGGTGGCACCATTAAACCTGCCTCTGCCATCCATCCGGCTCTGTCGCCTTTCTTCCCCTCGGGGGCACCTCACACACCCTCCCCAGGGGAAGGAAAGATCCCTGTTGCTGGGGAGGCTCGAGGCAGCGGCACCTTCCCCTCCCAGCCTGCTTCTGCGCCTCCGCGCCGCCCGTCCGGGGGACTCACGGGGGCCGGGAGATGAGGGTCTAGAAGTTCAGTGGGTCGGTGCTCTCGCCTCCGAGCAGGGCCCATGTGCTGTTCCTCAAGAGCTGCCTTTCAGCAGTGCGTCAGCGGTAGCCGTGGCCCCCAGGGGCCCGTGACTGACCAGTTGCACCGGTTCAGCTCCTTCCAGGTGCTGGGGGAGCTGACTCGGCAGCACCTGGCCTGGGCTTGAAGCCAAAAGGGTGCCCCGCTTTGAGCGGGTAGCATCTGCCCCTCCCTGCTGCTTCCTTTTAACCCCCCCCCCCCGCCCACCACTCCCCCACAAGGACGGGTTCCTCCAGCTGCCTGCCATTTGGACCTCTGTTGCTCCTTGCCCGTTCTCCCCAGTGCGCCTAACTCGGAGGCATTTTCTCTTTCCGCTGAGACTCGCTGGCCGTGTGGCCCTAGGTAAGACACACTCGCTCTGAGCCTCAGTCTTCCTGCTTGTGCGAAGAGGCAGCTGGCTCCAGGCCAGATGGGGCACAATCATCACTGGGGCAGGGCCCCACCCCTACAGAAGCAGCCGGGACCAGCTCTGATCCTGTGCCCACCACCAAAATGACTTCCCAGGGGCCAGTAGCATGTGCACTGCCCCATCCAGGAGGGACCGTTGGGCATCATGTTAAATTCTAGAGCCCTGGAAGAAGCAAGACCCCACTCTCCCCAACCCCTAGGATAAGACCAGTAGGCTGGGAAAGTTGCTTTATTTGGATTTGATTCAGGGGGTGGGGCTCCCGGGGCTCCCAAAACCGAACACGGTGGCCTCCACGCTCCTAGCCCAGCACCTCATCCTGGCCTTTGGTGGGCAGAGCCATCCTTCCCAGCCTTCTCCAGGAGCCTTCCTCCTCCTCCCGGCCGGCCACATGAGCTGTGGACAGGCCCTCCAGTCCCTGGGGTGGGAGGGAGGGGCCTAAGCTCAGAGTAAACCAAGTAGACAGACCAAGGCACGGCAAGGCCCACGGAGTCATAAGTGCTCCGCTGGAGGTGGCCTCCGGCTGGGTGAGGCCTGTGGCTCCAGAGAGGGTGGGGACTCCCTGCAGCCACTGACCATCCAGAAGTAGTTTGGGTGCACCTGGCCCTGCACAGCCTCACTGATCATCAGTTCCCCGTCCACAGCAAACACACCCTTCCTGTCCTTGGGTTCCAGGCGGAAAGCAACCACGGGCACGTACACCAAGTGGGGACAGTCACACTCCATGTGCCTGCCTTTCTCCATGGCCAGGAAGAGGCGCAGCAGTGTGGCCCGAGACACACCTGCCCGCACGTAGAACAAATGCATAGCGCCGGCCGCACAGCGGCCCATGGGTGCAGCAAACATCTCACTGCCCAGGTGTGAGTGCAGCAGCGCCAGCACCAGCACGAAGTCCTGCTCCGGCACCACCGTCCAGTGAGAGGGCACTGCCTCCTCCAGGGGCACCAGGTGGGCGTCCACAGGGCCCTGCTGGGCCTGCTGGTCCCGAGCGGGGCAGGGGGGCATCTTGGAGACCACCGTTTCTACAGGGAGGTAGGCCAGGGAGCCCTGGTAGGTGCGCAGGGCCGCCAGGCGCAGGAAGGTGCCCAGAGTGAAGCGCATCTCACCCAGGCGCCGAAACTTCTCACTCTCCAGATCCACGTCAGCGATGAAACCCCAAGCCAGGCTGAGCACGGAGAAGAGGCGCTGCCCGGAGGCTGTCTGCAGGGACAGCAGATCCATGGGCGCCAGCAGCCGGTGGCACAGCAGCCGGGTGCAGTTGGTCAGGAGGTCTTCATTGGTCACTTGCTCGAAGCTGCAGAGGGAGAAGTCAGATGGGGTGGGCAGGAGCCCTCACACGTCCTCCCCTTCCTCCCCCTGGGGAGTTGGGGCGGACGAAGTGACACTGAGTCCCTAGGGAGTTGGCAGGAGTGACAGATGGAGCAGGTGGAGGCAGCAGCTGGAGTCACGGAGAGGGCCCCAGACGGAGGGGCCGAGGCTCCAGAGAAGAGGGCATGGAAGTTACCCCTGGGCATGGTAACTTACAAAAGAAAGCCTGGCAGTAGGGCGGCACTAAGGGGAAACAGAGGGCCACTGTGGCCCTGGGCTCTCACCCGGCATAATGGTTCACAGAAGCGGCCAGTGCATTGCCAGAGCCGGCTGGGAGGCTACACAGGGGCTTCTGGATGGCGGTCTCCCAGTCAGGCCGCTCCATGAGCCCGTTCACCACCTGTTGGAGCGCAGGTGGCCTCAGCCTGGGAAGCACCCCACCCCCACGACCCAGGCCCAGCCTTCCGGTGCGGGGCTCACCTCATGCATCAACCCGTCTCCAGACATGACCACCAGCGCGTCCCAACGTCTCAGGTCCTCCGCCCGCACCAGCTCCCGGGCGTGGTTCCGCCGCTCTGCGGAGAGACCAGCGCGGCTATCACGGCCGGGGCTGCGGTGGGGGGTGGGGGGTCCCTGTCTGGGGATGCTCCCTGCATCCCCGCGGGGAAACACTCACCAGTGAGCGTCAGCGTGAAGGAGACATCGGCCTGGGCCAGCAGGGGCTGCACGTGGCTCCGGAAGAGCTGCAGGGCTTTGCCCTTGCCCCCGCGCGGATTTAACAGCACCAGCACTCGGCAGGGCCTCGGGAGCGGGTTCCGGGAGCCGCCCGCTGTAAAGACAAACCCGAACCGGCCACTAGGGGGCTGACGATCACAGCAGGGGGACTGGGGTGGAAACGCTGTGCCTGAAACCCACGGGTAACTGATCCAACAGAGTCTGACCAGAGGCAGCGGCCTCCAGCGGTGGGGAGCTCCAGCGGCAGCCCCGCGCTCCTCACCCGGCCAGCTTGGCTTGGCTCAGGCTCGGCCCGCTTCCGGTCTCGTCGGGAAAAGTGCTTCTCTCGGGCGTCCCCAGCCTCTTTTGTTCACCTGACTCGGGCCAACCTTCCTCTCTCTCTCGAGAGAGAAGGGATCCCCCCACAGGCCTTCCCCGCCAGGCCCCCACAAACCTGCATCCATAACCTCGACCCGTGGCCCCCGCTGCCAGGGGGTCCCCGGCGCTGTCGGGGCGCTGTCCGCGGCGGCGGCTCCTGCCTTCAGCTCCTTATCGGTCCTGCCCAGGCGGGCGTCTCGGTGCCGGCTGTGGGGCTCGCCCTTCCCGCCCGGAGCCGGGGCTGTAGGGGCACCCGCGTCATTCCCTGCGGTTGCCGGATCTGGGGGAGAGGAGACACCGCTGGTGGAGTCCGCAGCGGCCCCCTGAGGTGGGGGGCGCCCTGCTAGGTCCTGGGACCACGCGTGGGGAGCCGCGCCTTCGGCATCGCCTAGTTTTCCGAGAGGTCCTGAGAGCCGAGGTCCAGTGCCACCAAGGGCGCTCCCGTCCTAGAACTGAGCTCCTACCCCCAGAGGCAAAGGGTCTCTTCCTGAGGGGCTTTCTTTCCTGGGGCCTCGGGTTCCGGCCCGACGATGATTCAGAGCCCCGTGGCTCTCTCCGGGGGATCAGGTCCTCACCCCCTGGGCGCTGCCAGGAGGAGGGGAGTCCAGTTGCTTGAAAATCCCAGAACGTGAGTGGACATCGCAGGGCGCGAAGTTCGGGGCGAGCGATCCCCGCCCCGAAACAGCCGGGTCGCCGTGTCCTCTACCCTGAGCTCCGGAGCGGCCGGAGTCGCCGCGCGCGCCTCTAAGGACCAGGCTCTGAGGCGCCGCGCGCAGCGCTCGTGGGAGCAGCGCCGGAGTCGCGCAAGAGCTGAGCCGGAGCCCGGCCGCCAGCCGCCGCCTCCCTCGGCCGCAGCCGAGTGGGCGCGGAGGCCATGCGGTGCACGGCAGTTCCCCCGACCGCCCAGGAGCCACGCACGGCGAGAGGACAGGGCGGGCGGCCAGCCCTACCCAGTCGGTCCGCTTTGCTGGGGAAGCATCACCTCCGTTCCCCACAGTGGCCTAGGGCTGAACGCAGCTCGTCCCTGGCTCAGCCTCACATCTGAGGGACAACTGGAGCGCCGGGCAAACGCTGACCGCACGGCCTCGCTGTCTCCAGCCTCAAACTTTTGTCTCAACTTCGGGGAGGGACCTGTGCCTCGCCCCCGGGCCTGGCCACGCCCCGCGCTCCCCGCGTTTGCGGGGGAGGACCCCGCGCCCTGCATAGCTGGAGCCCGCCTGTCCCCGGCCTCACCGCGCCGCCCCCCGCACGGTCAGCGCCCACGGCTCGGCCACGCGCAGCCCTTTGCCTGGGTCCCGGGACGCTGGGAGTAGGCGACCGGCGGAAGGCGGCGCCGCAGCCCGGCAGGCGAGGCGGAGGCCGTTGGCGAGGCGCGGAGCCCCAGGCCCGGCCACGAGCGGCGCGCCGCGAGCGCAGCGTCCCGGGCGCGCGACGGTGAACGCGCAGCGCAGGCCGAGGCACGGGCCTCACGCGATCTCGCCTCGGCGCCCAAAGTCGGAGCGGCCCCCGGGTGGGACTCCGGGCACACGTGGCTCAGGGCTCCGGGCAGACCCTCGGCTGTCCCTGGACGCTGCGACCTTCCGCCCCGGAGTCTCCTGGCAGAACTGGCCCCGCTCCCGGCTCCGGGCAAGCAGCGCCCGCTTCGCGCGCTCCGCCCCATCCCACCTGGATTTCGAGGCCCAGATCCCGCCGGGTGCCCCCCGCTCCGTGCCGGGGCGTCTCTCCAGCCGCTCCAGTTCTCCCCCAGAGTTATTTTTAGCCTCCCGACCAGGCAGCTCTGCAGCGCAGCCACCGAGCCTGAGGCAGCCAGGCGAGCGGTCCCGGGGAAGGCTGGCGACCTGCGCGGGGGGATGCGGTCCAGAGGGGGGATCCTTGTCGAGAACCTCAAAAGTTGGATCTTTTTCACAGAGGACAACGTCGAGGCTCGCCTAGGCCAGAGAAGCTGCTCCGCATCGGGCGATCCAGGCCCACGCACCCGAGAGGAGCTCGGCGGTGTAAACAGGCCTAGGGGTCCCCATCCGCATTGGGCAGCCAAGCATCGGGGGCGTGTCCTCCGCCGCCTCCACTGGCTCAGTGGGAAGATGCAAACGGGCCCAGGACTCGTGTATCGGTGCTTGTGTGATAAACATATCACCGGCAAGTAAGTGTCTGACCTGAACTTGTCCGCGACCAACTCGAGTAAACTCCCTGGGGGGCTGTTGGCGGCGACCCAGAGGAGGAAGTTACCAAGGCGGACTTGGCGACCTGACCAGGTAGGGCCAAAGTTAGGAAAAACCAAACCGCTGTAGGAGGCTGAGGTGGTACAGGCCCAGGCTGCAAAGTGCTCACGCGCCCACACCTGCCCCCACCGACACCCGCTCACAACTCTCTTCCCATCGCCTCAAGTCGAGAAGAGGCAGGTCTCTGCGGCCCCGGTAACTCGGGCGCGCCTCCGCCGCATCTCTTACAGAGGACCCAGGCGGCCCGGCCCCGTTTCCCAACACCTGGGAGGGGAGGAGGGCGGGGCCCAAGTGTCCCCACGTAGAGGGGAGGCGCAGGCTGGGACGCGTTGGCCTGGCACGCGTCCGGGTGGTGGCCACCTCCGTCCTGCGTGGCCCCCGGGCAGCCCTGGCTGGGTCCTGAGCGTCCCGAGCGTGTTCCGGGAAGGTGACTCAGCGACGCTTTCACGGGTCGAGAAACCATGCGAAACTAGGAACCGGGCGAGGAAGCGGGGGCGGGGCGGCATCGCCCTCTCGCAGGGCCGCGGCGGGTGTCCGCTGAGGTCTGATCTTGAACCTACAGGCCCCCACCCGCAACCCCCAGGAATCCGGCGCCAGGAGGGGAGCGCGGCGCTGCAGCCGCAGTGCCGCGGTCACGCGACGCGGAGACTCAAGCGCCTGCGGGAGGAGGGGGCTCCTTGCGGGAGCCGGGGCTCGATCCCTCTCCTCCCCCTTCGCCTGCCTTCTCCTCCTGCCAGGACTCCGGTCAAAGTCGGGGCTTTGGCGCCTAGAAGACGCGGGACGCGGGCGGGGTGCTCCCCGAGATCTCAGTCTTGGAGGGAGGGTGCTGCGGAGACCGCCAGGGCAGCCTCCCCCTTCTCCCCCGCTCGGGAGGGCACTTCCATCAGTCCTGAAAAGCCGCTGCCTTAAACCTTGGAGTCTGGTGGGAAACTGAGGCCCTCGGGAAAGGAAGACCTGGCTGTGCAGGAGTCCGCAGGGAGAAAGCCCACCTGCCACTGGGTCCCTCCGCCTCCCAGCGCCCCGGGCTGGAGCCCTTGGGGTCGTGGGGCCGGACGGGGGCGGGGTTGACTGGAAACCGAGCGACGAGGGAGGCGGAGCAGCCTGCTGGGTTCATTATCCGGCCTCCGGGGGCCCAGCGGGAGGGAGGTGAAGGGCCGAGCCCTCTGGCCCCGGTTCCAGTCTGCACAATGGCTGCTCTGTCCTCCCAGCGGCCTCGCCCCCGCCCCCACCCCCACGGTCCCTGCTCTGCCCTCCTCATTCTTGTCCGTCACCTCCCCCCTCCAGGCTGCCTCCCTCCAGGCCCACACCGCCCTCCAGCCCCTCTCTAAAGAGCTTTATTTCATCTCCAGAAACACTCATCAGCGTCCCTGGCCCAAGAGACAAGATTGAGCAAAAGCAAGATGCTTTGCCCCTTTGATAACGGGGAACTGAAACCCTGAGAGGTGAAGGGTCTCGCCTAAGCCACGGAACCAGTTCCCGACAGAGCTGAGAAGCAAACACAGGTCCCAACCCCCAGGCTGAGAGGCCCAGCTGACCCCAGGCTTCTAGCTGATCTCTGAGTATCTGTCGGCCGGGTGGGTTTCTTGCCACAGAGCTGCCCCAGTAACCCAGCTGCTGGGTCTCCCTGGGAAAGAGGAAGCAACCCGAAGCCCTCTCCAGGCTTCATCATCCAGGTTCTGATTAAGCAACTAGCTGCTGTGGCCAAGGGCCTCTGGAGTCAGGCTTGATCTGTGCTGATCGCCAACCCGCAGGTAACACCTGTCTCCCAGGTGAAAGAGACTGCCTTTCCATCTCCCCCAGCCACCCTCCTTCCTCCTTGAGGGCAGCCTTCCCAGGTGGACACACCTGAGAACCCCCTTTTTTTTTCTTCTTCAGAGAAAGAAAGCAGGCATTCACGGGGCCTGGCCCGGCTCTCTGGAAACTTGGAGCCAAGGCCGCCAGACGGCAAATGACTTGCTTTTATTAGGAGAGGCTTCCTGTCATCTCACCTGTTCCTGAGGTTTTCAGCTCCCAAGTTGAACTGGAGGACCTCGAGGCCTCCCTTGACCTCAAGTCCTTTCTGCCTGGGAGGCTGCAAGGGCAGGGGAAGGGAGGTATCCAGCCCTGCAAACTGTGTTGTTGTTTTTTTAATGTATTTTTGTGTTTGGTTGGTTTTGGTTGTTGTTGTTTTAGCCGCGCCGCGCGGCATGTGGGATCTTAGCCCCCCGACCAGGGATCGAACCCGTGTCCCCTGCTTTGGAAGCGTGGGGTCTTAACCACAGGACCGCAGTTTGCAGGGATGTCCTGCAAACTGTTTTTAAGACTTGTGTTCTGGGACAGCCCCAGATGTGGTTTTCCATTCTGAGATCCTGGTGACCGTGCCAGGCATTGAGGAGTGTGCCACACATGGATATCCAGGAGAGCAGACCGGTCACACAAGATTCTTGGCTTCTTGCAGGGAATGTTACGGGTTTCTGTCCCTGCGGCGGTTCAGCCACCCTGGGTGTGGTGGAGGGAGCCTAACTCGACCTCTTGCGTGGCCTACTTCTCCTCACGGGTGTCCTCGCCAGGGCTGGGAACCAAAGTCTCTTCTGGGCCTCTGGGCTCTGCCTGCCACACACCCCCACCCGCAGGCCTGCTGAGAGGGACACATCCCTTTCAGGGGAATTCGCGGGCACAGCCCTCCCCGTGGAAGCCTGCGAGCCTCACCCGCTTCACTCATTTCAGATGCTTGCCCGGCATCTGAAGGCATTTGTATTAGTTTCCTGGGCTCATCGCAACAAGGTGCCACAAACTGGGTGGCTTAACAGAAATTTACTGTGTCACTGTTCTCAAGAAATCCAAGATTAAGATGTTGGTAGGGTCGGTTGCTTTGGAGGGCTGTGAGGGGGAGTCTGTCCCAGGCTGCTCTCCTAGCTTCTGGTGGTTGGCTGGCAAACTCTGGTGTTCCTTGACCCAGACTCTGCCCTCATCGTCACATGGCCCTCTTCCCTTGTGAAAGGTCTGGCTGAGATGTGTTCTTTTAGGGTCTGCCTTCTCTTCTGTCGGGCATGTTCTTTTTCAAAAGCAAATTACTCTGGGAGGGAAAACCAATAAGTTATCAGGACTCTAGTGTGAATGGAGGTATCCATTTTAAACTAAAAAAAATCTAACAATACTAGGTGTCCCCAAAGAGGACAACAGTGCACGCTCGTGTGGGTGTCGCAGGAAAGGTGTCTGGGAGCTGGACCTGCCCGCCTCCGCTGTTGGGAGGAATTGTTTATATCTGTGCTGGCTGCCGGGTGGCTTTGCCCAGGCTTGCACACTGCCCCGGCTACCTTGACTTTCAGATCTTACCTCATACCTTGGCTTATGGCATCTCTGGCATCCTGAGCAGGTGCGTTTATTCCCCAGGCCTCGGAAGAACAAAGCTGAGTTTTGTGTTAGTGCACCGGGTTCCTGTCGCTGCACCACTTTATTATCCTGCAGTACTGAAGGTCAGAAGTTTAAAACGGATTGACGGGGCTGTGCTGTCTTCCTGCTCTAGCTTCTAGAGACCTGCATTCCTCAGTTCAGGACGCCCTCCTTCACCTCCGAAGGCGGCAGCACAGCATCTTCAGGTCTCTGTCTGACTTCTGCTTCTGCTGTCACATCTCTGACTTTGACCTTTCTCCCTCCCTCTTACAGGGTCTCCTGTCTGTGATGACATTGGCCCCACCTGGCTAACCCAGGATCATCTCCCCATTCAAGAGCCGTAACTTAATAGCGTCTGCAAAATCCCTTTTGCCATATAAGGTAACATATTCATGGGTCCCAAGGATTATGACGCAGCCGTCTTTGGGGGGCTGTTATTTTGCTAACCACAGCTGGGTAGGAAAACTCTGGGAACCGTGTCCTTACTTGGCTACAGAACCTTCGTTCTAGCATTCCTTACCTCCCCAGTGCTACCAACTGAACACATACCAGGAACTTAGTTTCCCCCAGATTAGCATTTGTCGTGGTGGGACCGAAAACACTCTTGCTGAGGTCATCGACACCTGATTCTGTAGGCTTTTTGGTCTTTGACTCATCCGGCAGAGGCCCCTGCAAAGAAAGCTGGTTTCCATTTTTTAAAATTACCCAGGAGGGAAAAAACAAATTACCCAAAAGAGAGAAATTGACATCTTCACTAAATATAGTAATTATAGGTTTGCAAAGGACTTTTCACCTGAGGAAGGGGTGGGGAGCAGACCAGCCCATCCATTTCCAGCCTGGCAGGGAGGGCTTACCACAGGGCGCAGCCTGCTGGGTATTACACAACATGTGCGGTCCGCTCAGCTCCTGTCATGTGACCCGACAGTCCAGCTACTTCTGTCCTCTGTGGTAAGTCTGGACCAGGCCAGCCACATGGAGAACCGTGGCTAGGAACCTTCCACAGGCTCCCGCTGACAGCAGCTCTGGTTTGGGCCCAGCGTGGGCTCTGACCTGGTCTCCAGCGCCCTATCCCCCATCCTGGGTACTTGTGAGGGGAGAGATGATCCCCTTCTGAGGCTGCAGCCAGTCCCCACCCCACCCAACTGTGCTTTGTAATCACTTACTCGTTTATACTGGCTTATACTGGTTCGGAGACACTGTGTAACTGGTGAACGTTCTCGTTCAAGGGAAGAGAAGCCATCAGCCACGTGTCAAACTGCTTTGGGTGATTCCCAAAAGGAGAACTTCTGGGAAGCGGGAAGAGGGGCCTGGCCCCTCTACAGTCGGTCGGGCAGCAGGAGAGCCGAGCCGCTTTTATCTGGGAGTAGCCTGGCGTCCAGGCCGAGGGGATGGGTGTGTCACAGTTTTCCGGGGGCTTTTTGTTGTGCAATGTTTTCCACTTTCACATCTCTCTGAAGCTAAGCTATGTCCTTGGGTTGTTCCCAAAGCAAACAGACAGCGGGCTGGACACAGTGCGTTAGCGCTAATGATCTAGGGTGGTTTCCTGGTACCTGCGGATGGATCCCTTCCTCCGAGCAAAGGTGAAGTCCTAGCTCACCCCCTCCGGAGATGCTCACTCTGCCTTGGGAACGCCCTTTCGAGGCGCCCTGCTGGCCCCTGGTGGCCACCTGGGGATGCGTCCCTCTCTCATCTTTTATCCAAACGGTGCAGCCACTCAGGCCTCCTCCACAGAAGCCAATTTGTTGGAGGCAAAAGAGGGGCCGGCGCGCTTCTTTGCCAAGCTGCAGAGAGGGAGGCTGGAGTGGGCTTGCCTGCCCGAGGCTTATTATCCACATCCTGAGAATAGAAATTCCCCTTTCCTGGAGGCTGGCCTCCTGAAGGTCAAACCCTTCGATTCTTTCCAGACACAACTTTGGTAGTATAAGAAATGAGTATACAGGATGGGCTGGACAGGGGTCGAGGAGAGGGGCCTGGGGCAAGGGACACCGTAACCTCATTCCACACGTGTGCCCCCAAGGCTTTGTACAGCCGAGGGAGTGATGCTGTGCTGATCCGACAGGAGAACCATTTCCAAAAGCGGCTCGTTGTTCTTTTTGCTCATTGCCCGAAAGCACTGACCACAGCAACGTGACCGGCATCTTGAAAATGAGTTGAGATGTCATTTCTCCTTCAAGGCACCATCAGATAGATGATCCTAGCAGCCTCCTCTGAAACTCCCCCTTTCAAAACAGAATGGGGAACCTAGTGATTACCTGTCAAAGCCTACAGACTAAGGAGTGAAATTATTTTTAAAAAACAAACAAAAGATGGAATGGGCTTGGAGAGCGCTCCTGAGCTGTGAGGAGCGTATAGGTGGGGGCTGAAGAACATATCCTTTCTTTGCTCTTGCTGTCTCCTTCCTAGAGCTGCAGTCGTTGCGGTTCTGTACACAGAAGTCCTCGAGAGAAATGCTTGTGGGCTGCTCTCCCAACCGCATCCCTCTGGCGGATCCAGGGGAGGGAGCCCTATCTGGGTGCCAGGTGGCTGCTGCAGTGGTGCAGAGCCCAGGAAGGGCACAGTCCAACACCCCACCTCCTCCTGGCTCCGTGCAGCAGGCTGATGGGTCCGGGGAGGGAGGGACAGACAGACGGCTCTGATGCAGAGTTAGAAGGACAAATCCATCTTCCTGACTCGGCATGACCTAGAAAAATCCATAGCATCAGAACTTGGTATTTGCAAACAAGCACAAGGATCTTATCTTTTTTTTTTTTTTTTTTAAGGATCCTATCATTTTAAGCTGAGGTTCCAGTTGCCATGTGACAAGTATCTGTGACCACTCGGTTCTCAGACTGAGAACTTTGAGCACTTAAGGAGGGAAGACAGTCTAACTGCAAAATATGTTTAGCATGGAATCGGATCTGCCGCCTTCATCTCTTGGCAGGGGTAAGTGTTATCCTAAGGGGAGAGGTGTGTTGAGTCCTCAGGGGTGGATCTGTTACCCCGATTTGCAGCCATTAGTGGTGCAGGAGCCACACAGGCTGGGGAGAGGCTGAGTGGCGGCCCGGAGACAAGCAAACCCCAGGACACTGAAGACCAGGTCTCTGAGGTCTCAGGCATTTCTGAAATGCTGAGGACCCTGAGTGGAATAGCAGAAGCCTAATTCTAATTCTAAACCAAGACTTGGATATCTGTGTGTGCTTAACAATGACTAGCAGGTCGCCCGTGAAGAAATGGTCCTAAGAGATGTGGAAAACAAATCTGGAATACCCACCAGCCCTTGAGAAAAATATCTTAAAAATTTTTTTTATTGAAGTATAGTTGATTTACAATGTTGTATTAGTTTCAGGTGTATAGCAAAGCGATTCAGTTATCCATATACCTATATTCTTTTTCAGAGTCTTTTCCATTATAAGTTATTACAAGATATCGAATATAGTTGCCTGTGCTATACAGTAGGTCTTTGTTTTTCTATTTTATATATAGTGGTGTGTATCTGTTAATTCCAAATTCCTAACTGAACCTCCTCCCTACCCCCAAGAAAAGTATCTTGTTTTTTTTCTTTTGGGCTGAGCCACATGGCTTGTGGGATCCCGAGCCCTCGGCAGTGAAAGCATGGAGTCCTAAGCACTGAACCGTCAGGGAATTCCTGAAAAATATCTTTTAGAAAGGAGAGCCTTGGGACTTACTTCCCTGGCAATCCAGTGGTTAAAGACTCTGAGCTTCCACTGCAGGGTGTGCGGGGTCTATCCCTGGTTGGGGAGCTAAGATCCCGCATGCCACGTGGCAGGGCCCAAAAAAAAAAAAAAAAAGGAAAGACGCAAGGTTCCTCAAAAAGTTAAACATAGAGTTACTGCATGACCCAGCAAGTTCACTCCTGGGTACTTACCCAAGAGAACTGAGAACATGTGTCCACACAAAAACTTGTACACGAACGTTCATAGCAGCTCTATTCACAATAACCGAAAGGTAGAAACAACCCAAGTGTCCATCAACAGAGGAATGGGTAAAAGAAATGTGGCATATCCGTACGCAGGAATAGCATCTGGCCGTAAAAAGTAAGGAAGTCCTGATCTGTGCTACGGTGTGGATGAACCGCATGAACATTATGTGAAAGAAGTGACAGAAGCCGTATACAAAAGGCCACATATTGTGGGATTCCATTTAAAGGAAACGTCCAGAATAGGTAGACAGAAAGCAGACTGGTGGTTGGCCGGGGTATGGGGAGGCACTGCTTAATGGATGTGGGCTGTATTTGGGGTGATTTTATTTTAGGGTGATGGTTTTATTATGGGTTTTGTTTTGGAACTAGTTAGAGGTCACGGTTACACAACATTGTGAATGTGCTACATGCCACTGACTTGTTTATTTTATGTTATGTGCATTCATCCGAATTTTTTTTTTAATGTTCATTTACTTTATTTATTTATTCCTTTTTTTTTAATTTGGCCACGCCTTGGCTTGCGGGATCTTAGTTCCCTGACCAGGAATTGAACCTGCGCCCTCGGCAATAAAAGTGCAGAGTCCTAACCATTGGACCTCCAGGGAATTCCCAAATTTTATTTTATTTTTTTTCAATGAGGGACTTGAACCAGCCGTGACCCTTTCAGGATCATTCTTTTGTGATGCACAAAAAGTCCATTTCTAAGGATGCAGTTGAAATTCTGATTTGGGTGGTGGTAGATATTTATTCCAGGCATTTGTTAAAGAAGGGGAAGGAGGACTTCTTCAGGACCATCTTGATGGGGGCAGGGACCACTACCTGGGGTCTTGCAGCGGTGGGGGAGGGAGTAGAGATTGGGCTCAACTGTGAATATAAGGAAAGGTGGGAATGTATAGCCAGGGAGCAGCAGATCGGGGGTCAGTGGATGGAAGATTACTAAGAGGAAACATCAGGGGAAAGGGGAGATTTTTGCTAAACCGACCTACCTGAACTTGCCAAAGGCAGGCCAGGGGGCTCAGACATCACCCCAGGTGGTGGAGGATGGGGAACCTCAACAGATATTGAAGGTGACCAGACATGGAGGATGGGGGATTCTGGCTAAACTGACTTGGCAGGATTCTTGCTAGAAGTGGACTCTGCAAAGCAGGACACAGAAGCCCAGGGTTTGAGACCTAGTCAGAAGAGGGCTCAGATGAGCCCGATTAGCTCAAAGAGAGAATCTTTCTCCTTGTCACTAAATTTTTCGGAGTCCAGTAATGTCAGCCTCATGGAACCATTCAGAGGCTCCTTCCCTCTTCTCTCAGGGGTGAGGGGTGGCCACCAGTGCTTTGGTGGCATTATTTGGAGGGACTTATCTTGTCTCAAAAGTAGTGTCACTTTGTGGGGGCCCTAAATGCCGATCTTTTTTTTTTTTTTTAAATGCCGATCTTTGGTCACTGTTATTTTCTTTTCATTTCTCTGTATTTCCCTCCATAGTTATACAATATGTGTGAGGTTTGTTTTTTTTTAAGAATGTGTATATGTGTGTGTGTGTGTGTGTGTGTGTGTGTGTGTGTGTGTGTATAACTGAAGCACTTTGCTGTGTGGAGTTTTTATTGAAGTATAAATATATACAGGAAAGCACACAGATCATAAACTATGAATTTATGCACTAACACACCTGCATTAATAAAAGAGCACATCCTAGAAACCCCTGGTGCGCCCTCCCAGCCACTCGCCGCCCCGCACAAGATAACCACTCATGCAGTGTATTTGTATATTTGGGAAGAAATACTTAAAATTTAAACAAAGTGAAAATACATTAGAGATGGAAAAATTTTAAATCCAGCCCTTTTTATTTGTGAAGGCTCTTCCAAATGGCTCAGACGTGGTAAGGGCTGAGGGCTCTAAGTGGGTTTGGCCTCGGGATATTCCTAAAGGACAGCAGGAGGCAGCTGGCAATAGCCACGGGATCAGCTGATGGACCCATCTCCTTTCTGGGTCATTTGGCACCTGGGCTCCCAAACTAGCCAGCACATTGGAACCCCCTGGTGGAGCTTCAGTACTACAGATACCTGGGTCCCACCCCCAGAGATTGTGATTTAACTGGTCTGCAGTGTGGCCCGAGCTTCAGAGTTTTTCAAAGCTCTGAAGTGATCCTAATATGCAGACAGGGCTTCCCTGGTAGTCCAGCAGTTAAGACTCTGTGCTTCCAATACAGGGAACGCAGGTTTGATCCCTGGTCGGGGATCCCACATCCTGTGCAGCGAGGCCAAAAAATTTAAAAATTAAAAATAGATAAATAAAAAAATATGCAGACAAATGTGGGAAGTACTGACTTAGCATAAAAGGAAGATCTGAAGCCTGTTTTCCAAGCAGGCAGGCAAACTCAAAGGCCTCCCAGAGATTCTGTAACTGCCACAAAAAACTCTCTTATTCAGGACCATCATGAATTGTCACGGTCCCACTGACTATTTCACGTCTGGAAATGAGTCAGGCATACTACAGAAATGACACATACTATTACAGCCTCTCCCCACATCCTCCCAGACACTGGCTTGGGAATGTGGGAATAGTGACAAAGCTGGCTACCACCCAGGCTCCAGGAAAATGGGGGGAGGGGAGGCTCTGCAGTTATTACAGTCACTCCCACTAGGTGTGTCAAAGCAGATGCTCTTGTGAATTAAAAAAAACTCAATTAAATCTTATTTCCCTGTTGGACAGTAATACAATTTTGAAAATGCTCTTTCTTAATATCGAATTGGTATTTAATTACCAGGGGGATTCGACCTTCCCTGAAAGGCAGATGCAGTTATCTTCCCACCATGAGGACTCTCACCCTGAGGGTCAGCCTTGGAAGTTCCTGCCCCCTCCACCTCATCACACTGTACCTTCATGATATAGGTCAGATTTCTAAGAACCTGTGTTTCTATAGTGGTTGTGTGGAATAGTGGTTTAAAATTTACGGAAGGGGCTTCCCTGGTGGCGCAGTGGTTGAGAGTCCGCCTGCCGATGCAGGGGACACGGGTTTGTGCCCCGGTCTGGGAAGATCCCACGTGCCACGGAGCGGTTAGACCCGTGAGCCATGGCCGCTGAGCCTGTGCGTCTGTAGCCTGTGCTCTGCAATGGGAGAGGCCACAACAGTGAGAGGCCCGCGTACTGCAAAAAAATAAATAAATAAATAAAATAAAATTTACGAAAGAATGGGAAAGGAGTGACAGGAGGAAGAAATGGGCAGGTGGGGGAGGACGGGGAGGGGGGTGCGGGGGGAGCTGGAATGCTTTCGTGTCAAGGGTTACCCAGCTTGTGAGCTGGTACTGTGCCTAGGCTACTTGGGCTTGGAATGGTGTTTGACCTGTATCTTTCCACCAGCCCAGATAGCCCACTTGTGCAAACCCTTCTTGGACAATCACTAGAAAGACAAGTAAGTTTTCATCCAAGAAAGCACCATATGTTTCTTCAGAAACCTTTCAAGTACTTGACTCCCTAGGGAAGTGTTCTAATTATCTGTTTCCGAGTGAGAAACCACCCTAAGAGGTAGTGGCTTGAAGCAATAATTTATTGGGTCCATCGTGGGTTGATTGGGCTCAGTCAGGTGGTTCTCACTTGGGGACTCATGTGATTACAATGTCAGTGGGCTGAACATCTGAGATGGGTCCCTCCTGGGGGACCATTGAGGCAGGCTGTCAGCTGGTTCAGCTGGGGCCGTCAGCCAGAGTGCCTGTGTGGACTCTCCATGTGACATGGCAGCTAGGTTCCCAGAGGGAAGGTCTCAAGAGCATCATTCCAGGACACCCAGCGGAAGCTGTGTGGCTTCTCACGCCCTGGTTTTGGAAGTCCCAGGCCATCACTTGTGCCACATTCCACAGCTCAAGCAAGTCACTAAGGCCAGCCCAGATTCCAGGGAATGGAACCAGGGTCCTTCCCCCATGGTCGGGGAGGAGGGACTGATGGAGGCCATATTTAGGGGCTCTCAGTTACTTACCTTAGGAATTGAGAATTGGGACAAATTTAGGGAACTGCTTCACCCTTAAGGAAACTAGTGTGTAGCTTAAGAACAAGATTCCTTCAAATATATTTTCAGGAACCCCAGCGCCGTGTTGATCAATGCCCCAGCTTCCTTGGGTCTCCTTGTTTTAACTGAAACCAGCTACCCTGCCTGACGGCGTTCGTCCTTAAGCCTTCTCTCTACCCCCGGAAGCTGCTGCTTTTCCACTTCCTTCTTAATACAAGTGCTGACATTCATCACGCTCTTATTTTGTGCCAGACACTGTGCTGAGCAATGCATACACTTAGCCCGTTTCATTAGGAAGACTTGTCTTGTTGAAGTGCCCATTGAGAAAAGGTTGATTGTTTGTTTGTTTCCAGTAACCACCGCCAGCTGTGCTCTGTCCAAACCCCCTTTGTTACTGGCTGAAAGACTCCCCATTAAGGCACCTCAATCTGATTCCACTGATCCAGTCACTTTTTTTTGTTATTAAGGCAGCCCCACTTGGGAGTTTAAGACTGGTCCATTTAGGAACTCAAACTTGGGAATTCCCTGGTGGTCCAGGGGTTAGGACCCAGCACTTTCACTACAGGGGCCCCGGGTTTGATTACCTGGTACCGCAAGCCGTTGGCATGGCCAAAAAAAAAAAAAAAAAGAAAGAAAGAAAGTGAAACTTATCTCAAGCACAGGCTCCAGCACTGAAGCAGGGACAAGGCCTATCTCTCACAAGCCGCCCACTGCTCTGTGCTTACTTCGTGAGGTTGAGGCGGAGGGGAGAGAAATAGAAAACAGATGTGTTTCCTGTGGTGACTAGTTGGGGGCGGTGATGTGGCTGTCCTGTGCCCTGGGTCTTTACTGCTGACCCAACTCATTCTCTAGAGCAGAGTTTCTCATCCTCAGCACTATTGACACCGGGGGCTGGATTATCCTCTGTTGTGGGGACCTGTCCTGTGCATTGTTTAGCAATATCCCTGGCCTCCGCCCACTAGATGCCAGGAGTACTTCCCAAGTTGTGCAACCAAAAATGTCTCCAGTCATTGCCAATGTCCCCTGGGAGCAACCTTGCCCTGGCCGAGAACCAGCGCTCCTTAGACTTGGTGTGGACAAGTGGGCGCCCCACAGGACTGCCAGCGGAGACTCTCCCAAGGGGCTCCCCTGGTTCCACATTCTTGCTGACCTTTGGAGGTGGCCTCATGCCATATTTATTGCTCTGAGGAGGTTCCCCAATCCCAAATCCCAGAATCTGCAATTCCATCCACACTCTGGATCCGACTCTGGGGCTGTGGGCTTGCACCCATCTTCTGAGGGGATGGGTGGATCCAGTCCTTTGCCTCCTGGCTGACTGCCCACCATGCCAGCTCCTCTGGGCACTGTCCAAACTGCAGGAGCCCCAGGGCAGATGCACCAGCCCACGGCCAAGCGGACAGCCAAGTGGGAGACAAGATGTTCCTCTCTACTGTCCCACACACTTTACAGTGGCTCCACTGTGTCCCCAACCCCCCCACCCCCACCTGGTTTCAAGAAAAGCCGGTCTTCATGAAGAAGCAGCCTCTCACCCTTCCTCTCTCCCTTTTTCTTGAGGCAGGATGCCATGACACCGACTACCCATGGTTGGGCCAAACTTCACAGGTTAAGACCACCATCCTCCACAAGACCGTCCAGACACCAGCAGCAAGTTCGGGGGTCCCCTGGCCACACTCACTTTTGACCAGCTGGCTACAAATTCGGGGGTTCCCACTACCCCCTCAGGTTCAATCATTCACTAGAATGGCTCACAGAACTCAGGAAAGCGCTGTACTTGCTATTACAGTTCAATGATAGCAAAAGGATGCAAATCTGAACCAGCCACAGGGAGAGACACCTACGGTGAGGTCGTAGGGTGGGAAGGTACCAAACTTGAAGCTTCTGGCGTCCTCAGGGACACGTTACCCTGTTGGCAGAGCACTGCCAACCAAGGAAGCTCACCGAGCTTGGGTGTCTAGAGGGTTTCATTATGTAGGCACAATTGATTAAGTCATTGACCATTGATTGAACTCAGTCTCTAGCTCCCCTTCCTTCCCCAGAGGTTGAGCTAATATCACGTGGTTTATCCTAAACTATCAGATAGAATTGGAGGGGCCCACCATGAATAACTGACCCTCCTATCTCTCAGGAAATTCCAAGGATTTAGAGGTGACCTCCCAGGGACCAGACGAAGGCCAGCCACATGCTGGATTACACACAGGATTGAAAGAGTCAGTGCTGCATGGCATCTCCCAGCCAGCTCCCGGCTGGTAGTTCTCTGAACGTAGAATGTGGGGTGCATTTTAATTCTTGGCAGTAGGCTCCGGCAATTCTTGGAAAGCAGGAAAGATCCTGCCAGGCACCTCCCTCCACCTTGTCACACATGCATCATCTCATTTAGTCCTCACCACCACCCCCAGGCAGGTAATATTGTGATCACCGTTCCACAGATGAAGAAACGTAGGTACAGGTTGACGGACTCCCCCAGGTGAACCAGCAGAAAAGGACTGAGTCCAGGTCTGTCTGACTCCAGAGCTGCCCCCTCATGGGCGACGGAGCCCTGCCTCCTGCACCCCCACTGGTGTAGTCCTACCAGCTCCTCAGGCGGCCTCCAGAACACCTCTCTTCCTCCTGCAAAGCCCTCCCTGTTCTGACCCTCTGCTACCGGGCTCACCACTCTGAACACCCCCTCTGCTGTTGCCCACTCCTGACGTCTCTGTTCCCTGCTCACCATCTTCTTGGCTCCAAGTTCTGAGAACGCGTAAACATTAGGTTCTGGGAGTTGGACGCCTGCCATAATCTCTCTCCGACCTAGAATGATCTTCATCCGCGTCTGACCTCATCCCCGGCTCTCGCAGTCGCGGCCGAACCACCACCCCTTCTCCCATGCTAAAACCCACATGCCAGCCTGCCCTGCTTTCTCCCTCTTGTGGCCACACTGTCATTCAGGCTTGCCTCTAAACCTCTGGCCTTGAGCACCCCACTCTCTTCCTCCTCCAATCCGCTGTCCTGAGGCTGTGGGGAAGGAGAGGAGGGGCAGTGCTTCGAGTGGGGACCACACGCAGCTCCGTGATGCCGTTGTGACTCTGCGAAGCCCGTTTCTCCTCTGCGGCCGCTCCCTTCCAGCCTCTGCCGCCAGGGGCGCTAGTGGGGCCCGCACGGCTGGAAGGGGAGAAAGGGCCGATGCTTCCTGTCTGCTCTGCTTGGTCACCCGAGCATCACCCTGGCAATGGTGACATCTGGCTCCAGTGTCCCTGCGCTCCCAGAACCTGCCTCTGTGCCTCTCAGAGGTACCGCACCAGCTGGGCAGTGCCTCCTCGCCGGAGATCCGAGTGGCATCTCCGTGGGACCCCTCCTCCAGGCTTCTAGAATCCCATAATCCCAACCTGTCCTCTTGGTTCCCCATTCATGGGGGTGGGGTAGCTGCTTGCTGTGGTCTCCCAGTGTCGGCTTTCTGCCGCTTCTATCTTGCAATACCCATTTAACCAATTCTCTATATTAAATTCTTTGTTAAAATAATGAATGTGTTGGGAATTCCCTGGCAGTCCAGTGGTTAGGCCTCTGCGCTTTCGCTGCGGAGGGCGAGGGTTCAATGCCTGGTCAGGGAACTAAGATCCCACAAGCTGCTAGGCGCGGCCAAAAAAAAAAAAAAGAAAGAACGTGGTTTGTTTTCCTGATTGCCTCTGACCTAATAAATATGTATAAACATTTCCCATCTCCCTTCACCTAATAGTTCATACGTGCCAGACGTTGTTCGGTTTGACATGTATTAACTCACTAATTATTATTACCCCCACTTTACAGGGGAGAAAACTGAGGCAAAGGGAGACATAATTGTTTGCTCGGGATCACACAGCTGTTAAGAGTGGCCTCCAAGAGCCTGGCTCCCGAGATAACACTCATCTACACACGCTGCAGCGTCTCACTGCTGACAGTGAGTTGGTGTAGCTGGGGCACTAAGTGATCACATAGTGTTCCCATTTATGGATGGACGAAAGCTATTTTTGGATATTTGTATCATGTGGGGGTTTTAGCTATTAGAGAGCCTGGATCCCCTTGAACCTGACACACTTAGGTCACTTGAGCCAGGAACCTTACAACTTTCTGAATTATTTTGGTCCATGATTTGTTGTAACCTGTCTCCTTAATGTTTAACCTTCTATCTTCTCAGCCCCGACTCCCCGTGGCCTTTTTCCTCCTTCCATGTCTTTCCCTATGAGCCTACCTTGCCAGTGTGCTGCTGTAAATCTGGAGATACGGGCGAGGAGACATCTCCTGTTTGGCAGACTCTAGAAGGTACTAGGAGGCACTATGGTCTCACCTTGAATCAGAGTCTTCAACGAGGTATGGGTATTGGTGATACCCTGAAATGCCTCCAAAGGCCTCCACCAAGAGTTCCTGAAAACCCCATGACAGAAGAGGTTCTATCCTACTGAGACTCTATGCTGGATTCCATTTCAGACTTTCCAGCGGCCGGCAGGGCAGCTGCTCTCTACCACTGCCCTTGCTGAAGCTGGGAAGGGTCACTCCCAGCGTGCTCGGCTCTGTCTGCCCAGTATTTTGCCCTCGCCCCCAGCATGGTTTCTGGTGTCCTATGGAGAGAATCAGCTTAGAGATCCAAGTCGGTATTATTTTTAGAACTAAAGATCATTCAGTCTCAGCTTGCTTCGGCCTGTTCAGGCAACGAGAACAGGGAAAAGTCTCACATTTTTCCAAAGTTCATGTCGGAGTAGTGCAACATGGAAGCAACACTTCTGAATCATTGCCTAAAGTGTTCTCCTTTGTTGCAAAGACTGACCTTGTCTTCCAAATAATTCATTCCCTGGGGACAAGGCTGAGCCATTCTGAACACACCCCTCTTTGTCTTCTCTGCTCATTCTTGGACAATTCTTCGTGCCAAATCTGAACCTGTGCTTTCTCTTCTAGTTTTTAGAAGAGAGGAGATTATATTTCCATAATTCATGCTGAACCTGCAGCCCAGTTAGCAACAGGATTTTTTTTTTTATAACTTGAAAACTGAAATTGGGTTGAATATGGAAATGTCAACTTGCACTGAGCAGAGCTGTCTTTGTTTTTGCAGGAAATGTCCAGCAGGTTTGGAGCCTCAAGGATCAGCCTGTTTTATAGAGAAACATTAAAACAACAACAACAACAAAAAAAAAAACTGGAACTGAGCAAGAGAGTTCTCACTTCAAACTGCAAAAAACACATTCTTTGCAAAATGAGCAGAAGTGTCTTTCTACTCAGTCCAGACCCTGTATTGGTCAGAATTCTCCAGAAAAGAAACAGAACCAACATGATATCTATCTATTTAGAAAGCAAATGTTGAAGAGCTAAAAGGAAAAATAAAAAACACCACAATCAGAGAACAAGCAGATGAAAAATAATTAAGGTCATAGAGAATTTGACTACAACTAACAAACGATCTAACCAACAGACGTAAAACGCGCACCCCCAAACTGTAGAACACATATTCTTTTCAGGTGCATACAGGGCATTTACCTACATAGATCACATGCCGGGCCACCAAGTGTGTCTCAACACATAGCAGAGGATTGAATTCACTTAGGGTGTGTTCTCTCACAAAGTGGAATTAAATTAGAAATCAATAACAGATCTCTAGAAATTTCCCAAAGTTTAGAAATCATGCAGCACACTTCTAACAATTCACAGGACAAAGAAGAAATCACAGTGAAAATTACAAAGATTCTCAGACATAAAAACCCATGTCGGGACTTCCCTGGTGGTCCGGTGGTTAAGACTCTGCGCTTCCACTACAGGGGCACGGGTTTAATCCCTGGTTGGGGAACTAAGATGCCGCATGGCGCGGCCAAAAAAAACAAAACAAAACAAAGCCATGTCATTTTCAGCAAATGGCAAACAGCTCAGAAAGCCACAGACCTAGGGCGTGGCCTGGAGAAAGCAGGGAGATGGAGAGGGAGACTCAGGCCGTATCAGGCTAAGGAGTTTGGGCTTATAAACTGTGGAAAGCCCTGGAGGCTTTTAACCAGGGGATCTGCTCTGTGGATGTAGAGGGTGGACTAGAGATACTGGAGGGAAAGAAGGACGGAACGTGAAAGAATGAGGCCAGTTGGGAGGCCCCTTCTTGAGATACGAGATCAATAGCTGTTCTCTGGTGCTTCTCTGGGGCTTCCCTGGTGGCACAGTGGTTAAGAATCTGCCTGCCAATGCAGGGGACACAGGTTCGAGCCCTGGTCCGTGAAGATCCCACATGCCGCGGAGCCACTAAGCCCGTGCGCTGCAACGACTGAGCCTGAGTTCTAGAGCCCGTGAGCCACAGCTACTGAGCCCACGAGCTACTGAGGCCCGTGTGCCTATAGCCTGTGCTCCGCAACAAGAGAAGCCACTGCAATGAGAAACCCACACACCACAACGAAGAGTAGCCCCGGCTCGCTGCAACTAGAGAAAGCCTGCACTCAGCAACAAAGACCCAACGCAGGCAAAAATAAATAAAGAAATAAAAATAATAAATTATATATAAAAAAAATAGCTGTTCTCTATATCACGGGTCCACGGATACGAGTAGAGCCCCTACCACGTGCCAGGCACTAGGAGGTCACTAGGGGTTCCTTCTCCCAGATACATTTTGTGAGCCATCCCAGCGCCACACAGATTGTTATACATAGGTCATAAAGTGGGAAAACTTCCAACAGTGTAATCTAAATGTTCATTTTTTATGAAGCTTCATGTTAAAACAAAGCATGGTTCTGTAGTTCTTTTTTTTTTTTTTTGCGGTACGCGGGCCTCTCACCGCTGTGGCCTCTCCCGTTGCGGAGCACAGGCTCCGGACGCGCAGGCTCAGCGGCCATGGCTCACGGGCCCAGCCGCTCCGCGGCATGTGGGATCCTCCCGGACCGGGGCGCGAACCCGTGTTCCCTGCATCGGCAGGCGGACTCTCAACCACTGCGCCACCAGGGAAGCCCCGGTTCTGTCGTTCTTGATGCCAGGCTGAGATTAAATGCCTAGCCTGAGGGCGCTTCCCATGACATTCTGTGCCTAAATCTCAGCCTCCTCCCTCCGTGCCTGAGCCGATCTGTGAGGGCAGCTGTTTCTCATAAGTAGCTCCCAAATGGTTATCCCAAATTCATCTTTTATGACCCTTCTTCCCTATCTTATCAGTGGAGAAATAAGGTAAGTTTGTAGGAACTTAGACATTGAGGCTTGGGGAAGGTGAGTACTTCCAATCTTAAATTTTGTGATTTCTTGTCAGAGAAATTGATTATTAATCCTAGTGAGAGACCCACAGCAGGGTGAAGAAGGTGGGAGGACTTATTATTAAAAACCACAAAAGTTTTTTTTTTTTTTTTAATAAATTTATTTATTTTCCGCTGTGTTGGGTCTTCGTTTCTGTGCGAGGGCTTTCTCTAGTTGCGGCGAGCGGGGGCTACTCTTCATGGCGGTGCGCGGGCCTCTCACTGGCGCGGTCTCTCCCGTTGCGGAGCACAGGCTCCAGACGTGCAGGCTCAGTAGCTGTGGCTCACGGGTCTAGTTGCTCCGCGGCATGTGAGATCCTCCCAGACCAGGGCTCGAACCCTTGTCCCCTGCATTGGCAGGCAGATTCTTAACCACTGCGCCACCAGGGAAGCCCCCAAAAAAGCTTTTAATAAGAGGGAGGCAAGGGTGTCAGAGTGGGTAAGGATATGTGAATGGAAGCAAAGGTCAGAGAGAGAGAGATCTGAGGACGCTAGGCTGCTGGTTTTGAAGATGGAGGGTGGGGACCACTAGCCAAGGAGAGAAGCGGCCTCTAGAGAGAGGAAAAGGCAAGGAAATGGATTCTCTTCCAGAACATCCGGAGGGAAATCAGCCTGCCAACACCTTGATTTTAGGACTTTCGACCTCCAGAACTAAGATTGTGTAAGTTTGTGTTGTTTTAAGCCACTTGGTGGTAATTTGTTACCACAGCAATAGGAAACAAATACAACTTCTAACACACTACATAATTTACTCAATTATTATGTTTATTTAAACATTGCTCTCCCCCCTGCTAGGTGTACCTGTCCAGGGTAGGAATTTTTGTCTTTTTATTTTTCCTCTAAAGTATCCCAAACAGCTAAAAAGGGCCTGGCAAACAGTAGATGCTCAGTAAATGTTAATAGATGGATAAATGGGTAGATGTAGAAAGCGAGAGAAAGGAAAGAGTCAAGGATTCTCCTGAGACTTACTGACTGGGAACCTCACGTTATGTTTACTCAGAAGGAATAGAGGAGCAGGTGCGGTTTGGAGAGAACTGAGAAAATGAAGATGGGTTTAGTTTGGGGTATATTAAGGTTTGAGGGGTTCTGTAGGATATATATATGGAAAAAATATATCTATATGGAAAATGTGAAGGGAAGTGGTTTCCTTTAGTTTTAGAAGGTAACGTGGCTTATGGCTGGGTCCATCGGCTGAACTTGTGTGCAGGTAAATAATTTGGTCTAAGCTATTTACCCCATAGCCCATTTGCTTTTTCCCTTTCCTTCTTTCTTTTCTTTCTTTTTCTCTTTCACCTGCTCTAGGAGAGAGGGGGTGGGTGCATCAGTAATTCTGGAGAGCCAGCTGGAATGTGGGTCAGGCTGCTACAGGCCCTGGGGCAGTTCAGTTTCCAAATCCTGAAGCTGCAGGCTTCGGAGGCTTCGTGACACGAGAGTCACAATCAATTGCTCCCTCAGGCCCAATGTCACAACAGGCAGAGTCCTCAGAAGATGGAGAAGCAGGAGATCAGCTTCCCTCCCCAATCCTGAGGCAACTGATAACTAGTGACTCAAATGCTTCCCTGCCCTTTACTTTCTTCTTGGACCTCATTCAACAGGTATTGATTGCGTACCTCTGGAACCCATCTCACTGCCCTGGACACTGGCAAACACGAAGAACTAAGTGACATACGATCTTGCCCTAGGAGGACTTACATCCTAGTCGGGAAGACAGATGTTCACAAAGCCAAATAAAAAGAGAAGCAACTATACATGGTGCCACGCACGGTACCGCCCAGCGGGCGAGGGCGGCTTACTGTGGCTGAAGTATCTAGAAAGACTCAGTGGAGCAGATGTGACGTGAGTGGGTCTTTAAGGGACTGGAGCACATGGAAGGGGAGGAATAAAGGCTTTTCTGATTGAGAGCAAAGACTGGCAGGAGCGCCTTGACTCGTTCAGAGAGCCTTGCCTTACGCGCAGATGCAAGTTTGGAGTTTGGGGAATAAAGATCAGGTTCAGGAGTACACCACCTTTTGGGCATTTTAGTATCCCAGGCAACCACCCGGAAATAACCCCGCCCTCCACTTTTCAAAGCGATCCCAGCCTAGCGCGGCGCATGCGCCTCGCAGGGCTCTAGCGCTGTGTTATCATGGAGGCGCAGAGCTAGATCGTCAGCCACCTCGGAGGCTGACATTTTGGATCCTGGCGGAAAAGTTGGAAAGGCTGGCACCACTACCAAGTCAGGCTGCACCACCCAAGAAGATGAGAGCAAAAGAACTCCCGTGGAGCGACAAGATCAGGCGGCGGAGTGAATCCGTGCTGCTTCCCTCGGAAAACAAGCTTGTAGAGAGTTGCCCACCGCCCTGCCCTCATCTGAGATGGTGACTGTGCGGGTGCTCTAGCCGCGCCTTTTCGATTCCCGGAGGGGGCGGTGCCGTCGTCTCTGGCTTTGAGGTGGCTGCGGCGCAGGTCGCAGCGAGCTCTGGTTGCTCCAGAGCCCTTGGTAGCCTTTTGTACGAGGAGGGTGGGGGTCTCTGACCTCTTCCCTCCTGTGCCGGGTTTCTCGGTTCCTTCCCTACGCGGGCCTACCGCTCCCCCGTGCAGCCCCGCCGCGGGCCGGCTGTAACTGCGCCCCTGGGCCGGACGATGCCCAAGAAGCTGCTGCTGCTGCCCCCGCTCTCCGTGTCCTCCGCTTTCCGCGCCCCGCGAGCCTGCCCCGCCGCCCGCCCGGCCATGAACGCCGCCCGCACCGGCTACCGAGTCTTCTCGGCCAACTCCACGGCTGCCTGCACCGAGCTGGCCAAGCGCATCACCGAGTAAGGGGCGGGAGCCGGGGATGTCCCGAGGGGCCCCTCCCGGGAGACGGTCCTTGTTCCTCTTCGCCTCCACGTCCCCCGACCCGGGCGAGGGGTAATTTGACCCCATCGTCCTGCCCCTGGGGGAGGGAGTCGCAGAATCCTGCCGTTTCAGGTCTGGACAAACCCTTGGAGGTGACAGAGGATCACCCCCCCACCCCCAGTTCTTCAGCTGAAAAGCGTTCGTCTGACTCTTGCTGGCTTCTCCCCACCTCCGGGTCCTTGGACCGCTCGCCCTGCTTTCGGCTCCCCACTCCCACCTCCTAGGCGGTGGTGAGGATTCTGTAATCGCTGGATTAGCGCGCCTTGGAGAGAGGGG